TATGATCTGAACACAACGGTTCAGAGGATACCCTCCACGAGGTTATCTTTGAGCTTAATATGATTGAGCTGAACGTAATGTCAAGTACCTCTACTTTATTTCTGGTAACAAATATTGATTTGGCGCCTACATTATTAACAATAAGCCTCTCCCCTAATAGGTAGTCAAAAAGCAACTCACCTCTTACATTTATGTTGGTGCTTGTCCACATTGTGTGGTGCGCATTAGCATCCGAAAAGCACTTGTACGTTATTCCTCCAGCTGTAGGCAATTATGTCTCACACAGCAACCGGGGGAAGATGATTATCCGTTCCGGAGAAGTATGCCGAGCAGGTGACAACTTCTATCCAGCCCTTCTCACCTCGGATTCTCAGAACCGCAGCCACACCATCGCGGTCGGTTGGGATGGAGCGGCCGTCCCACCGGTCCCTCTCATTCCAGCGCGCCCTCTTGAGTCTCGGGCAGGAATCAAGGAGTCTAACTGAAAGTATAAAGCCGAGGTCGCTTGTGGGCGAGGCGCTACCTTTACTATATTTCACCCATATGGGTCTTTTTTATACTGCCTCGGCCGCAAGCGACCTCAGCTTTAATCTTTTGCAACCACTTAAAATATAACTTTTTTTTTATAATATACATCGATTTTGTTAGATTTTTGAAAACTTTCAATGTGACTTCTGTTTATAGCTTTTCACCATAGCTTCTTAACGTAACCTCAAACTGTGGTATACTTCTCAATTGTACATCCACAGCAAGAGGTTACAATAAGAAAGTACAGTTATTTTTCCATCCCAATTATAATAGCAATATCAACTAACTGAGAATCCACAGAGTGAAGGTACATACGTTATCTACATTATAAAATCACTGTAGAAACGCTGTAACTCCTCACCGTAGATTCTCACTCTCGCTCCTCGATGTTGTTTTTCTTTCACTTTAACACTTTAACCTTGCGTATTCCAACTTAAATAATAATCGTTGGATTCTGAATTAATTCATTGAATTCCATCTTCTACAGCTTCATTTATAGCCACAATTGACTCTGTTACATCTCAGATGCAACTTCAAGCAGTGCCACACTTCTCAACTGTGTTGGAACTGAAAGAAGTTGCAATGAAAATGTACTTGAAACTTAAGGCAATCCTTTAATGTTATATATATATATTCAGCTCAGTACTTTAGGAATAAATAAGAACTATGGCGTTATTCCCTACCTTCTCAACGTAACCTCAGACTATGCCAAACTTCTAAACTGTATGGCAACAGAAAGAGGTTGCGATGAGAAAGTACAGTTTATGATGATAAAAACGTATCTGTCACTTGTTATATTCGCTGTTAAGGGAGATACACAGTGAAAAACTGCAGTGTCACATACAATATATATTCGCTGTAGCAACAATGCAGTTTTTCGCTGTATCTTCTCGTTGACATTTCTCACTGCTGCTTTCCACTTTGGACCTGATGGTAATAGATTTAATGTAATAGATTATGATAGCACAAATATGTCAGTTAAAAAAACATCTAAAAACTTTCATTCTTTCGAAGTATTAGCTGTAGCTTCTCGACGAAACCTCAATCTATGCCACACTTCTCCACTGTATGGCAGTAGAGCGAGGTTGCGATGAGAAAATACAGTTTCTTTCTAATATTTGAACTGAATATTGCTTTGTTGTCATTAGAAAACTCACAGTGAACAGTAGCAGCATAACTACATTATTATTTCACTGTAGCCATACTGCGACTTTCACCGCAAATTCCCACTGTAACTCTCCAAACATTTTTGAGTATTCTGATTCCTGTAATGTTGTTCTGCACGTTCTCGTCGTAACCTCAAACTATGCCACACTTCTAAATTGTATGGCAATAGAATGGGTTGCGATGAAATAATGCAGTATTGGTAATTTTTCGCTTCGTTGTCAACAGAGAACCAACAGAGAAGAGTTGCAGCATAACTACGTTATGACTTTACTGTAGATATACTGCGACTTTCACTGCAACTTCCCGTTGTAATTTCTAAAAACGTTTGGGAATCCTGGTTCCAGCACACTGTAAAGGATATCATATGGGTTCATAATAATGGAAATATATTTATTAGTCGGTTTTGTTGTTAACTGAGAACCCACAGTGAACAGTTGCAGCATAACTACACTATTACTTTACTGTAGCTATACTACGACTTTTACCGCGGCTTCCCACTTCTGCTTCCAGGGTATTGTGAGAGATATCGCATTATTGTTAATAGAGAACCCACAGTGAACAGTAGCTATATAACTACACTAATACTTCACCGTAGATATATTGCGACTTTCACCGCAAGATCCCACTGTAACTTCTGAATTCTCCATATCTTACAGAAATGTATGTTAATAGAGAACCCACAGAAAAAAGTTGTGGCATCACTTACACTGCATATTATCTGTAGCAACACCATAACTTTTCACTGTAGCGTTACTAGAACTACACAAGATGGAACATTTTAAAAACAATACAAAATTTACAATAGATTACCTTCATTCTGTACCCTCTAACCGTAACCCCAAACTGTGCTACACTTCTTATGTGTATAGCAGCAGGAAGAGGTTACAACGAGAAAGTGCAGTTTGTTCTTGAGACATTTAAGAATTGCGCAACAAATAATTTGCAATCCCAAAACAATGTTGACGTATTATTGAAGAACATATAATTTGTGAGCGGAGATTCCACAACGAGAAATTACGGTATGAACTACACGATAATTTCACTGTAGCAGCACCATATCTTCTCGTCGTAGCTTCCTACTATATTTAATTTAATCAAAAAACAATTAAGTATAATCGGGGTCAACAGCAAAATTTTTCCCATACCTTTTTTATCGTAACATCATCCTGTGCTATATCCCACAATAAAAAAATATATCATGAATCAACCAGCGGAAATAACAGAGGAACCACAACGAAAAGTTATGGCATCACTTACACTATAAATTTACTGTAGCAACACTGTAACTTTTCGACGTAACTTCTCACTGGAACTTTTCATCTTGTATTCAAGTCCATTTCGCAATCACTTTTATTCCAAACAGTCCACCGTAGCTTAGTTTGTAGCTTCGCTTCACAACCTCGATCTGTACCACACTTTCAAAAACATGTAAGGACAGAAAGAGGTTGCCAAGAGAAAGTACAATTTGTTTATTGATGACAAAAATTACAAAACTAAATAATATACAATTAATAAATAGTTTGGAACCAACAATTAATACTGTAATTCTTTATCAGCTCAGTTGCATAGCTGCTTAGTTGTAAAGCTGCAGAGAGATGCCACAATAAGAAGTGACACCTAACTCTGACTTCTTTTGTGGCCGTCTCACTGCTACTTACAACGACTAGTACAGTAGTTTCTTGCTGTAGCTCCGTAAACCTTAAAGTTTAGAGCCTTTGACAGAAATGCCATCAAGTGCAGCAGAAACAATATTTCTTCAATTTCTGCAAATTTTCAGATGAATAGAATTGCTGATCCATTTAATTCCAACTGTATCGTGTTCCTCATTATGCAAAAATATAAATACGGCAAAAAAATCACTTGCCGTTTTATGGGAAAACCGTTTTTTCTGGAATTATTGCAAATTTCAGGTTGACCAAAATTTTATTTCAAATTAATATAACTTGAACTGCATCGCATCATTCTCATCATGTCTAAAGCAAAAATGCTTCAATTTTTTTTGGAAAACTTGGTTTTCCTCAATTCTGAACAAAATTTCTGATTAATTTAATCCCAACTGTTTCCTCATTGTCCATAGTAACAAATACGGAGAGAAAATTAGTTTTGCCATATATACATATACAGGGTGTCTCACGTAACTGGTTCGCTGGAAGTTTTTAAGGTTCCATTATTCGTAAGGGTTGGAAATTTTGGTAGAATATAACTAGTAACCCTATATTTCCGGTCACCAGTGATGAAGACAACGAATTAAATATTTTATCGTATTTTATTGCATACCCAAATGAAATTTAATAAAGAAATTATATTTAATTGAACCTTATTTGTTTTAAAAATGTTGTACATTTAATTTTGCAAAAAATATACAGGATGTTCGATTTAAAAATGACACAATCACAGTTTATTTATTTAACCGACTTTCTACTTCCACTAATAACAAAGTTACAAATGGTGCGCACTTAATTTAGAATAGCTGTATGCGATATACAGTGTGTGGCAAAATTATGGAATAAATTCAATAAAACGCTTATAACAAGTCTATTTTGTTTTTTCAAAGCACACATTTTGAGCCCATATTCACTTCGAGATAGTTATTTGTTTTCAAGTTATGACGTCATCGACAATTTTTTTTTATTACGGAATATAAGAGCTTTTTGTTGATGACGTCATAACTTAAAAACAAATAACTATCGGGAAGTGAATATGAGCTCAAAATGTATGTTTGGAAAAACAAAAGCTTGTTTCGCCGTATTTGCAAAATAATGTTTATAAGCGTTTTATTGAATTTATTCTGTAATTTTGCCGCACACTGTATAGATGATTGAGCTTTCCATTATATCTTCAAAAATATATAGCTCGTTACTTGTATAGTTGATCAGTTATATAGTTACAGAGAGATGGCACAAAAAGTAGTAACACTTAATTCTCACTACTTTTGTGGCTATCTCACTGAAACCCACAACTTCTATATCTTCTTATTAAATTTTTCACCTGTTATTAAAGCATATAAATTAAAACTTTCAATGAAAATATTTACTTTATAATTACGATGACCATGAATCTGTGGCTTAAAATACCACGAGAAACATGTTTTGAATAAGTGGGATGTCCGATCAATTGAAATTCAAACGATTAGTAAACAGTGTTCAATGGAGGGTAAATTGCGCTTCCTGAAATAGATCGCGATCTAATTATCATGCTCGATCGAGTTGGCGAAGCTGTCAGAGGGCGCCGAATTTCCTATTTGAAAGTCTTCCAGGGAGTTGAAATGCGTGAAAATGTTTCATAGTTCGTCTTTTTTTTTACAGGAAGCGGAAAGCGCCATCGCCGCCATGAACGGTCAATGGCTTGGCAGCCGCAGTATTAGGACCAATTGGGCAACCAGGAAGCCACCAGCTCCTAAAAACGAAGGTGAGTTTTTCGTTTTTAGATTTTTTTATTTTTTTCCCCTTTTGTTCGGCGATATTTGAGTTTCCCCCCCGAGGGCTGGACCAATCAAGTTGCGATTCTGGTACTGTCACAGCTTGCTTATGTTTTATATGGCTGGGGAGAACGTTTGATATTCACGTGAAATAACGCACGGAATTGAATCGAGATAGCTTTTATAACTAACCGTAATGTCTCCCTCGCCGGTATCCAAATGTAAAAAGTTAAATCTTGTTTAAGATACGTGGAAACCGTACGAATGTACCTGACATCGAATTTGCTGATTGTTGTTAGACCGAACAAATACTTTTACTCGTCCGTACAAACAACAGATCGATAAAAAACGCGGGGGGTCCCATCATTCCAAGCAAACAAAGTTTCGATTACCGTTTTTGGACAGGATCGTTTAAACCTTTTCGCTGGAATACTTCCATAATTCTTTTTAATTCATCTTTTACGTTCTCTATTGTTCCGTAATCCCACGAAACAAAGATTAAGTTCAATCGCATTTATAACAGTTAAATAGGTTTGTTGTAAATAGCAAAAAATGTTTTAAACAGTTCAGTATGTTTACCCGATTTGCTTGCTTAAGAACGTCTCTGAACGTCAAATTGCTCTTAGTAATCGATTGGTTGTAGCGCTTACAATCTCATGCATATTATTGAACACGCTATGTACCTAACCTTGTTGTACAACACAGTCAACAATGCGTTGATTATACTGGCACACAATATTGTTACTCAGGTTGATATTCGTATAATAGACAAGTTTATATGCTTCCAGCAATGCCCTCTTTGGCGTGGCGTAAATATTTGCACTCTTACGACATCGATGAGTGCTCGAAAAGTTTGCTTCCCACTCGAATCGAAAACGAGTAGCTCGTGACTTATGTACTCATTAGAGGTTCGTCGAATTTATTCTACAGCCGGGGGTGTTCCCATCGTTTTTACGACGTCCTTTAACGGTGGAAACGCAAAGGACCAGTTCGATTTAAATTCGGAAACGGTCAGAATTCAGCAATATATAGGGAGACAGGGACAAAAAGCGCACACAGCACTGCGAAGAGGTTTTCGTTCTACAAAAAGAGCGAAAAGTAGTTGATTGGGAACGTATATTTCCGGTGGGAAGGATCCTAATCCAGCAACCACCTTTAGTTGATTTTATTTTTTTTGAAGTCAACAAACTTTAATTCCGATTATTTTATGATAGAACTTCCGCCTTAGAATGAAGATAGATGCGCGCCACCAAGTTCTGGCGAAACTTTTCACAGTTTCGGTTATTTTTATGTAAATTCTCACCGCCGTTTGATTGATGCCCCGATTATACTATAATATGACTGATGTGATATTACATTCATCCCTGTATTTGCTTCTTGATACAGGTGGTACTTTTTATATTGCGCAACATCAATCATTCACGTTCAATCTCTAGGAAAAATAACTTTCCTGATAGATAGCGTCATAAATAATGGTAATAGCAACTGGCGTGTACACTGTTTTGATTCGCGACAAATATAATTACTATTTTCTATAACATAATTAACCCAAAACATTTCCCTATCCATAAAATATTTACATAACGTTTTATTTACCAGTTTAGTGCTGTAACCATTAATTACGATGTTTTATAATTAGCTAAAAATTGATTCCAGTTAAAACGCATAGTGTAACGCGTCTCATCAGTTAAATCGCTTTACATGGTTGTGTTCATATTTTCGTTTAATCGCGTTACTTTTTTGCCATGCAAATCACGTAGCTAGGCGCTATGCAATTTTCATCGATTTATGTTATATCGTCCACACCATTGTGCGAAGGTAATTTAGCTTCGCGTTGCAATTTCTCTGTCTCTCTCATTCGCTATATGACTTTCACTACTTATTGTTCCAACCAAGTTCCGACATCGCATCGCTTCGCGGTTTCTCTAGCTTTTTTGACGGTTATAAAATTAATTACTATAACAAGTGCCGAGAGTTAACTTCGCCCTGTTATAATCTAAATGAGTCGGAAAGTTGTTTTTAAACGTCAGCAGCTTCGTGCAGATTGAATGCGGAGTAAATTTAGGTTGACATGGAATCGAAACAAGATGTTTGCGGTAAGCTGGATTACCGAATTGACGCAGTACTTAGCTGCTAATGCACGTAGGTTGATTTATACCAAGTATAAGAACGGCTAAATCAATAACAATTCCCCTATTAGTATGAATTATCCTAGTCATTAACTAGATGCTCAAGAGGAATTATGTCATCGCTAGAAGCATCCATATCAGTTATTTCGGCGGTTAGATCAGACGTTAATGTTGGTTAATTTAGCTAATTTATACGGCTGTCACCATATACCGAACGTTTACACGCTATAATTACATGCAAACAAGTCACTATCTACTCCTTTGTATTCTCAAAGAAAACGTCAACGCGACCTGCACATTATTTACGCCACTTGATTAAAGGAAGGAAATTAACGCAAGCTTACAATGTTTAGCTAGACGTATCCGTTTTCGAATCATTTTCAACTTTTCTCATCTAACTTAACCGAAAAGGAATATTCACTCCCTCTTCAACTTCTTTTCACTTATCTCTTCCTTGTATTTATTTTAACAACAAGCTTCAAAACTCTTTGATAACTCATAATATTTAATTAAAGTAACCACAATATCATCTCAATTGTCACTCAAAAGTAATATTATTAATTAATATTATTATATTAAATTAATTAATAAATAAATTAATATACATAAACTCAACTTGACCTTGACCCTAGAAATACTTAAAAGAAATATATATTGCAACAAAAAAATCAATATGATATATCTAAATGACATATTGAATCCCGTCAAAAGAGTTGCCTCGGCTTCTAAATAATGTAATTATACTGAAATAAAAGTTTATGTTTGACTCTTAACTACTCACGCTATAATAGTGATCAAATACAATATATTAAATTATAAAATACTAAAAAAATAAAAAAAATACTAAAAATACTTACTAATTTATTACTAAATTTCTAAAAAATTATAAATTATATTAAAAAATAATAAGAGAAATAAATATTTTATTTATTTGTACATGGACCACTTCCATGACAGTTAGAATTACACAACAAATTATTCTTTTTGCACAAACATTTTTTTGTACAAGAGCATCTTTTAAATCCTAGTCCTGTACCGGTTGACTGGGCAGTTGCCACTGCTCGGAGACATATCTCTTTGGAAGGAACTTCATCAGGAGATATAAGTTTTCCATCACAAACACTAAACTGGGACCTTGCATATAGTTGTGTAATTATTTCATTTCTTGTTCCCAATTTATAGTAATTATCATCACTAACATCTAGTACAATGGCAAGTACAGATCTAGGATCTTCTCTTCCACAATCTACCTCAGGAACTTTTACTAGAACGGTCGAACCAATAGCAGCTGAGGGACTGGTCATCATTCTTTAGAACGCATCACTACGTTCCATTATTATTGATGTTCTTCTGTGGTACAATACACATCACCGATTTTGATTCACTCCATCGGCGTCTTCATTAAGTATCGCACAACTAAAATGATTCGGTTTTAAACAATCCGTGCACAACGAATAATTCTCTGAGCAGGTTTCTAAACAAATTACACATTTAGTTTCCCTCTCTATTATTATTAACTTCTTCTTCGATATTTTCTTTATCTTTCTGTTCGATGTTCAACTCTTTACTTTTATATTCAATGTTTTCCAAAAGTTTGTTTAGATCATTTCTATTATTTCTTTCGGCAAAGAAAACGCCAGAACGCCATTTTGATGCCAGAATGATAGGAGCGATTTTTTACAAATTGGACAAACTGTAAGTTTTTACTCCACTTGTTTGTGCTATTTTGTTGCATCCAAGTGGTGAGCATGTTTTCCACATCTTCATTCGTTCTTTTCACGGCTGCGCCTCGTTTTCCATGCATAATTTTTAGCTCCGGTCACATATCCCGTAAGCTTTCTATCATGTTATTGCAAAATTCGCGACCATTGTCTGATTGGAAAATGCTAAACATTTCAAGAATACGACATGCAACTTCCTCAGCGCGTTTGGTTTCCAAAAGCAACTAATAATCACAATCAAATGTGAGCAATATGTCTAAATGTTCCTTTTACACTTAAGTATACTTCACTGCCTCGGCAACGCCGTTCAAAGCATCATGATAATATTAAATAAAAGCTTTGCTGTTTGTTTCTTAAGCACTTGCTACTACCTCGGCAGCACAGCTGCCTCGGCAACGACTTCTAAGTGACTTGATCACGCTAATCACGCTATTACCTCGGCAATTATAATCATAATCGAATGTGAGCAATATGTCTAAATGGTTCCTTGTCATTTAAGTACACTTCACAGCCTCAGCATCTAAACGTTGTAATAATATTAAAATTAAGAGTTACAGTTTGTTTCTTAAGCACTCGCGCTACTATCTCGGCAACTACATATGACAGTTGATTATAAATAATATGTCTAAATAGTTTCTTTAACACTTAATCACTGGATCGGAATAGCAGTTACGTTGGCTTCTAAATGATATAAACGTATTGTAATCAACGAGTTTGTTTCTTAATCACTGGCGCCACTGCCCCGGAAATTACATATCACATTCGAATGTGACAATATGTCTAAATGGTTTCTTCTGATTTAAGTACACTTCACTGCCTTGGCTTCTAAAGGAAGTGATAATATTAAGTAAAGGTTTACTGTGCAATTCTTAAGCACTCACGCTACTACCTCGGCAGCATAGCTGCCTCGGCAACAACATATAACAATGAATTATAAATAATATGTCTAAAGAATTTCTTTAACACTTAATTACTGCCTAAGGATAGTAGTTACATAGGCTTCTAAATGACATAATCGTATTGTAATCAAAAATTCTGAGTTTGTTTCTTAATCACTGGCGCCTCTGCCTCGGCAATTACATATCACATTCGAATGTGACATGTCTAAATGGTGCCTTCTCACTTAAGTACACTTCACTACCTTGGCTTTTAAACGATGTAACAATATTAAATAAAGGTTTACTGTGTAATTTTTAAGCACTCACGCTAGTACCTCGGCAACTGCATATTACAATGGATTATAAATAATATGTCCAAAGAATTTCTTTAACACTTAATTACTGCCTAGGGATAGCAGTTACATTGGCTTCTAAATGACATAATCGTATTGTAATCAAAGATTCTGAGTTTGTTTCTTAAACACTGGCGCCACTTACATAATTACATATCGTATTCGTATGTGACTAGTATGTCTAAATGTTTCTCTTATTACTTAAAATCACTTCACTGTCTCGCCAACACAGTTGCCTCGGCTTCTAGATGACATGATAGTATTGAAATACATACTCTCGCTATTCGCTAACTAAAAATCATAATTGATTGTGCACAATATGTCTAAATAGTTTTCGTTGCCTCGGCAACTAAGTAACTCATTACTATTAAAGAAATGTTTACTCTCCGTTGTTTGTACGTAACAACTAAAACAAACATATGAAAACGTATTTTAATGGTGAGAAATTAAATCTAAATGGCACCTAATAATGAATAGTTAAACTATACATTATGACAAGGGATATATTAGGTTTACATAGGTAGGATGGCATTATTATTAATTTAAATAAATAATGTATTACTAATTATTGATCGAGTGGGGTTTGATTTTCGGTTTGACCCTGATTCGATTTGGATTCGGGACACGCATCATTTAGATACACAAGATTATGACAATCAATGATTTTCAAAATCATATTACGAGTCGTATTAATTTTAGAGGAAGCAAATGTACAACAGGGGCAATATGGATACGATGTCAATATTAACATCCGCAACACTAAAGCACACTATTAATTTTGAGGTTTTAACGAATATGACATTAAAATTAATATTGATTTTAAGCGACGATTTTATTTATGATAAATTTTAAGTGATTATTAATGAAGAAATTGTCATTAAAAGTCATGGCGATCTTTAGCGTTAAAGTGTAACGTTGTGGATCAGAATAGGATAGGATAATAGGTGGAGGGTAGTTCGTCCATAAAGAGTTAGGGTGCACCTCTGTAATGTAGGGGTGGGTAGGTAACGGTGCATTGTGTTGGTATATCCGCGTTGGTACGCAAATACTGAGCGTTTGTCAACGTTGCATCCATACGCAATGCGGATATCTAGAACTCGCCCCGTCCCTGCTTTGACACTGGCGACGGACGTTCGAATCTGCCCCCCGGTTAGGAAGGGGTGGCAGCCTATCGTGACTATAAATTAGAATTACTTGACACACCGTTTTGTGCGCAGACTTTACCAGAAGCCGATTGCGAATAAATTACTAAATGTATTGTGAATTAGCAGAGGCGTATATCATCTTCATTCAGGCCGTATGGCCACGTTCGCACGTTCCGCGTGTTCGAACTTGTTTGAAAAGATACAAAATGAAAAAACGCAAAAACTTTACCGCTGTTATTGTTTACGTTCAATTTAAATTTCGATTAATAAAACTTGGCAGTGTAATTTAAGAGATAAGGATCCTAATTAGGATATTAACTTTACGTTAAACTTTTACTAATTAATATTTAGGAGGGATTTACTCGTCCTTTTCCAACTTTATATTTTACTTCCCCAAAGGGGCTTAAAACATAAAATATTCTTCGCGCAAATTCATGCATTATCCACAACACGGGGTCAATATTCAAGCGCTTCCAAACAAGTCATATATCCGTATCTTAATCTAAACGAAGGAGGCAAACTCTAACAAGAACAAACACTGAGTAACGCGGAAAGAGGAAAGAAATCTTTTTAACGCCAAATAATGTTGGTGTATGTAAATAAATGTTTTGCCAACAAAATTTGTTGAACGAATTTTAATTCGGCGATATAAAAAATCCGTATACGTGGAGGTATTCGCGACGTTAAAAAATAATTTTTTGACGTGATCAATTTACCGTGTTATATTTGCATCCGTAAATTCTCCCGTCGTTTGATTTAACTGCGCGTATTGGTAGATTTTTATTTTTGTTTTGCCAGTTTTTTGCGTCCCCTTTTTTCCTAGTCGCCGCCCAGTGTTTTTAATTTACAATTGCATCAAAAACCAATAACTCAGCGTTTCCGAAATTCGTTCAGCGAACGGAACGAATAAACTTCTGGTTTTTGTTCCGCCCGTATGAACAAACTTAACGATTTGTCGGGGTTTATTTTGCGGAGGGAAAAAATGGTAAAGCGCAACAATACGCGCTGAATTTTCGCTAAATACACTTTACTCAAGTTCTGTATAGGTCCTTTTTTTGCAGTAAACTCAAAACCTTTAACATTCGATGAGGTCTACAACCAAAGCAGTCCTACCAATTGTACGGTATATTGTGGAGGCATCACAAATGGATTGAGTGAAGAATTAATGCAGAAAACATTCGCACCATTTGGAACTATTCAAGAAATTCGGGTATTTAAAGAAAAAGGATATGCATTCGTTCGGTAATACTTCTTTTTGCACAAAAATAAAAAATTAACAATTTTTTTATCTTCAGTTTTTCCACCAAAGAATCTGCCACTCATGCTATTGTGGCGGTCCACAACACTGATATCAATGGTCAAATCGTCAAGTGTTCCTGGGGGAAGGAATCAGGAGATCCAAACAATGCCCCAGTCGCTGGCCAGGTACTATTATTCCCATGATTGTAAGCCGAAAAATACAAAAATATCACGCTCAAAAAAAAACAACAAATCTAAAACAAACACAAACATCGAATAAACATACGCGAAAAGCCCGGACGCTTTTCGGAGATTATTTTTTGCCTTCCTGTGCGGTTTTTTACCCTTATTGGCTGCGCGCAACTCTGGCACGGTGTTAAAAAGCCGGGATTAAATGATATAATTGACAGCGCAAATTTTAAGCTATGCAGCCTTGCAACTCGCGTCTAGATAAATCAAAATCTCCGTAACCCGACAAATTACCATCACATATTTTTTTATTCCCGCTTTTTATGCCACCCAAAGAAACGGAAACGCGAATTTATGCGCGACCTCGACTGCGGGAAATCGCTTCGCTCGCGCCACCTGTTGATAAAATTCCGAAACGCCACTTTCAACCCTCCGCGTTCTCTTTCCACTCACCTCCGACACAACAACTTTAAATTGCCTCAATCATACGTTAAACGTAATATTTTAGTGTGCTTTACAGGCTCTAACTAGCACCCAATATCCTTATGGAGCCTACGGGCAACAGCTCGGATACTGGTATCCCCAGAGCTTCCCCACAACGGCTGCGGCCGCTCAAATGCAAGGACAGTTTTTGCAAGGCATACAGGGTTACGCTTACGGTCAATTTGCTGGGTATCAACAGTCTTACATGGGGTAAGTACCTATTAACAACTAAACTGCCTTAAAACTACTTATTCGTATTATTTAATTAGCTTCATTCATTTAATTATATAATCTTAGGTTGCTAATCAAAAAATTCGTATAAAATTAATTTTGTATGTGTGAAAATTTTTTAATTAGTCAATAAAAGAATCTACTTTTTAATGCAGAAAACCGTTTTGAAAAATAACAACGTTAATTGAACGCCAATTGAACAACGTTACTGTGTCAGATCGGTATTCGCTACCTCATATACATGATTTCAACATTCATTTGCACGGATGCAAAATCTTTTCTAAAATCGACTTGGTCAGAACGTATCATCAGATACCCGTAGATAAAGAGGACATACCAAAGACAGCTATAACAACCCCTTTCGGTCTTCTCGAATTCGTTCGCATGCCTTTTGGCCTTCGAAATGCAGCGCAAACATTCCAAAGGTTCACTTTCAGGACTAACCTTCATTTTTGTATATTTAGACCATATTCTTGTAGCAAGTCAACATACTTCATTAAAAACAATTATTTCACAGATTAACTTCCTACAGAGCGTTCAACAATGATTGTAAGGTGTTTGAATTTCCCGCTTTTGCGTTTAATTTTTAAGGCTGGTACGAGAAAACTAATAAACATAGGCGTATCATAGGAAAAATTTCGAAGGCATTAAAAAATTTTTGTTTACAATTTATCAATGTGTAACTTTACTAACAAAATTTAAAAATGTGTATGAAATCAATTAATATTTATTCACATTTTGTCATAATAAATGTTAAAACTTGTTAACTCGAAAGCAATTAAAACATACCACGCCACTGATTGTTAAAAATACGTCGAAAACGTCAGCCGGTACCAATGTTGTTTGTCAAATGTTACTAAAAGTCAAGCACGCCAAATTCAAACACCTTACAATCATTGTTGAACGCTCTGTACAATATATCAATATTGTATTTAAACCCAAAAAATGTATTTTCGGTGTTAAATCATTGGATTTTCTTAGTCATCATGTTTCAGCTGATGGCATTCGACCATCCCAATCAAGAAACACAGCTATAAAACATTTTCCAAAGCCAACGACTCTAAAAGAGTTACAAAGATTTTTGGGAATGTTAAGCTTCTACCATAGATTCTTACCTAACATTTGAAATATTCTTGATATCTTATACACACATTCAAAATTACTTCACTATCAATAACAAAAAACAATTTCACCAACTTCATGGACACTGCAACGTGATAACGCTTTTTCTTCAGCCAAAGATCTTCTATCAAAATCTATCTTTCTAGGACATCCCTCTTGACATGCTACCCTATCATTGTCAACTGATGCATCTAACACAGGTATGGGAGCTGTTTTAACACAAACCATCAATGGAAAACCTCAACCATTAGCATTCTTTTCCAAAAAATTTACTTCATGCCAAACCAATTATTCAACTTTTGATAGAGAACTATTAGCAATCTACTCTGCTATCACATTTTTCAAATATTCCTTACATGGAAATCAATTTATGGTATATACAGATCACAAACCCATTGTCACATCAACTTTTTCGTCCACAGACAAAACTGCTCGTCAAACCCGATATCTAAGTTATATTGCACAATTTACTTCAGATATCAAATACATCAGAGGAAATTCAAATGTTATTGCAGATACTCTATCCAGAACAAACATCGAATCTCTAAATTCATCTTACCCAAATTTTCTAACCCTTAGCAACGCTCAACTTGCTGACACAGAATTGTCAAACTTACTGAATAAGCAATTTTGGAACAATCATTCAAAATCTTATAAGATACTTTTGGCCACACATATTAAAGCAAATTCATGTTTGGATCAAAACCTGCTTAAAATGTCAACAAGCAAAAATCCAAAAACATACTAAATCGCCAATCATCAACATCAAAATTCCTAAAATTAGATTTGATCATATACATATCGACTTGATAGGAGCACTCTTTTCAAAATTTAACACATTACTTGGCACACGACGAATACACACACCATCTTTCCATGCTCAAGCAAATGGAATGTTAAAACGATTTCATAGATCATCGAAGACGGCTATCATCGCTAAAAGAGACACTACTAGATGTAACAACAATTTACCCTTCATCCTACTAGGATTAAAAACATCACTTAAGGAAGATCTAGGTTGCTCCTCAGCAGAACTGCTTTACGGGCAACCACTAAGACTTCCTGGAGAGTTCTTCATACGTACTAATCGATCTATTGACTATGAGCCATTCCTCTCCAGTTTAAGAGACACTTTTTCCAAATTAAAGCCTTTTCACTCTATTCAAAAACCTTTTATTCATAAAGACTTGCACAAATCAAATTCTGTTTTCATTAGAATTGAAGGTTTGAAACCATCGTTATCTCCGCGATACGAAGGACCTTTCAAAGTTCTGACAAAAGCAACCAAATATTTCGTTATTCAGAAAGGCAATGATAAAATTATTGTTAATATCGATCGCCTTAAGCCCGCGTTTATCTTTAACGAGAGCGTTAAATTTAATAATTCGGAAATAGATAAACATGTGTCATCCTCGAATAGGAAAGTACATTTTAACATATAATTTTTCACGGAAGGGGGAGTATTGTAGTGTGCCATGCATCACACAAAGTGTGCCATGTAAAATTGTTTTAATAAATGATTTGTTATATAATTTTAAAAAACAACAAAAACAACAAGTTAATATAATAGAAAATATTGTATAAATATTTATTGTATAAATTCAAATATTGTACATGATAAAATAACAATTATCGTACAGTGGAAATATCTGAAACAATCAAGGTCTACTTCTTAATGCACATATTCGTTATTAAAAATTACTTTTAGTTTTTGTGAAATAATATTTTTAATTCTCCATTAATTTTCAAGTTTAACAATTTTTATCAATTAAGTTTAAAAATGTGTATAAAATCCATTTTTTAGAAAATTAATATCGAAATTTTCGAAACAATCAATATAGGTGTTCACTTTTTAATGGACACACTCGTTATGAATTATAAATTATTTACTACTTTTAGTTTTTGTGAAATAAATTTTTAAATTTTTTATGAATTTAGAGATTATTTTCTTCGATTAGCTTAAAAATTCATATAAAATTCATTTTTTATAAAAATTGAATGTAAATTTATTAATCAGTCAATAAAAGTATCTATTTTTTTAATTCTCCACCAATTTTCAAGATTGACGATTTGTACCAATTAAAAATTTCAAACCGTTTTATTTTTGGTTAATGATACAGATGGAAAGAAAAAACATTCTCTACAATATTTATCAGTTAAGTTTAAAAATTTGTATAAAATCCATTTGTTAGAAAATTAATATGGAAATTTTTGAAACAATCAATATAGGTGTTCACTTTTTAATGGACACACTCGTTATGAATTATAAATTATTTACTACTTTTAGTTTTTGTGAAATAAATTTTTAAATTTTTTATGAATTTAGAGATTATTTTCTTCGATTAGCTTAAAAATTCATATAAAATTCATTTTTTATAAAAATTGAATGTAAATTTATTAATCAGTCAATAAAAGTATCTATTTTTTTAATTCTCCACCAATTTTCAAGATTGACGATTTGTACCAATTAAAAATTTCAAACCGTTTTATTTTTGGTTAATGATACAGATGGAAAGAAAAAACATTCTCTACAATATTTATCAGTTAAGTTTAAAAATTTGTATAAAATCCATTTGTTAGAAAATTAATATGGAAATTTTTGAAACAATCAATATAGGTGTTCACTTTTTAATGGACACACTCGTTATGAATTATAAATTATTTACTACTTTTAGTTTTTGTGAAATAAATTTTTAAATTTTTTATGAATTCATCGATTAGCATAAAAATTCGTATAAAATTCATTTTTTGTAAAAATTGAATGGAAATTTCTTAATTAGTCAATAAAAGTAACTACTTTTTTATGAACTAAACAGTTTTGAGAAATAACTTTTAGTTTTTGTGAAATAAATTTTAAAATTTTTTATGAATTTAGAGATTATTTTCATCGATTAGCTTAAAAATTCGTATAAAATTCATTTTTTGTAAAAATTGAATGGAAATTTCTTAATTAGTCAATAAAAGTAACTCGTTTTCTATGAACTAAACGGTTTTGAGAAACAACTTTTAGTTCTTGTGAAATAAATTTTTGAATTTTTATATATTAGAAGTTGTTTCCATCGATTAGGTTAAAAATTCGTATAAAATTCATTTTTTATAAAAATTGAATGGAAATTTCTTAGTTAGCCAATAAAAGTAACTCCTTTTTTATGAACTAAACAGTTTTGAGAAATAACTTTTAGTTTTTGTGAAATAAATTTTTGAATTTTTTATAAATTTAGAGATTATTTTCAGCGATTAGCTTAAAAATTCGTATAAAATTCATTTTTTATAAAAATTGCATGGAAATTTCTTAGTTAAGTCAATAAAAGTAACTCCTTTTTTATGAACTAAACAGTTTTGAGAAATAACTTTTAGTTTTTGGAAATAAATTTATGAATTCTTTATAAATTTAGAAGTTATTTCAATCGATTAGGTTAAAAATTCGTATAAAATTCATTTTTGATAAGAATTGAATGGAAATTTCTTAATCAGTCAATAAAAGTATCTATTTTTTTAATTCTCCACCAATTTTCAAGATTAACGATTTGTATCAATTAAAAATTTCAAAGCCTTTTATTTTTGGTTAATGATACAGATGGGAAGAAAAAACACCCTCAACAATATTTATCAATTAAGTTTAAAAATTTTTATAAAATCCATTTCATAGAAAATTAATATGGAAATATTTGAAACAGTCAATATAGGTGTTCACTTTTTAATGGACCCACTCGTTATGAATTATAAATTATTTACTACTTTTAGATTTTGTGTAATACATTTTTAAATTTTTTATGAATATAGAGATTATTTTCATCGATTAGCTTAAAAATTCGTATAAAATTCATTTTTTATTAAAATTGGTTGGAAATTTCTTAGTCAATAAAAGTAACTCCTTTTTTATGAACTAAACAGTTTTGAGAAATAACTTTTAGTTTTTATGACATAAATTTTTGAATTTTTTATAAATTTAGAAGTTATTTCCATCGATTAGGTTAAAAATTTGTATAAAATTCATTTTTTATAAAAATTGAATGGAAATTTCTTAATTAGTCAATAAAAGTAACTCGTTTTTTATGAACTAAACGGTTTTGAGAAATAACTTTTAGTTTTTGTGAAATAAATTTTTGAATTTTTTATAAATTTCGAAGTTATTTCCATCGATTAGCTTAAAAATTCGTATAAAATTCATTTTTTATAAAAATTGAATGGAAATTTCTTAATTAGTCAATAAAAGTAACTCGTTTTTTATGAACTAAACGATTTTGAGAAATAACTTTTAGTTTTTGTGAAATAAATTTTTGAATTTTTTATAAATTTCGAAGTTATTTCCATCGATTAGCTTAAAAATTCGTATAAAATTCATTTTTTATAAAAATTGAATAGAAATTTCTTAATCAGTCAATAAAAGTATCTATTTCTTTAATTCTCCACCAATTTTCAAGATTAACTATTTGTATCAATTAAAAATTTCAAAGCCTTTTATTTTTGGTTAATGATACAGATGGGAAGAAAACACACCCTCAACAATATTTATCAATTAAGTTTAAAATTAAGAATTTTTTATAAATTTAGAAGTTATTTCCATCGATTAGGTTAAAAATTTGTATAAACTTCATTTTTTATAAAAATTGAATGTAGATTTATTAATCAGTCAATAAAAGTATCTATTTTTTTAATTCTCCACCAATTTTCAAGATTAACGATTTGTATCAATTAAAAATTTCTAAGAGTTTTATTTTTGGTTAATGATACAGATGGAAAGAAGAAACACCCTCAACAATATTTATCAATTAAGTTTAAAAATTTGTATAAAATCCATTTCTTAGAAAATTAATGTGGAAATTTTTGAAACAATCAATATAGGTGTTCACTTTTTAATGGACACACTCGTTATGAATTATAAATTATTTACTACTTTTAGCTTTAATTTTATAAATTTTAAAATTTTTTATGAATTTAGAGATTATTTTCATCGATTAGCTTAAAAATTCGTATAAAATTAATTTTTTATAAAAATTGAATGGAAATTTCTTAATTAGTCAATGAAAGTATCTATTTTTTTAATTCTCCACCAATTTTCAAGATTAAAAATTTGTATAAAATCTATTTCTTAGAAAATTAATACAAAAATTTTTGAAACAATCAATATAGGTGTTTATTTTTTAATGGACACACTCGTTATGAATTATAAATTATTTACTACTTTTAGTTTTTGTGAAATAAATTTTTAATTTTTTTATGAATTTAAAATGGTTGAGAAAAATTTCGTTTATATTCAGATAAATATTAATAATATATAAATAAATAAATAGGGTGTATAATAAAGGTTGACATTTGTCGGGTTGCGGTAAGTTGGGAGTTTGGTTAAAACGCGATAATTTGTTGTTTTTAGGATGGGAATGCAAGTACCTACTACATGGCAGGGAATACCTGGTCAGCCGCAGCTGCCAACAACCCAACAGATGGCAGCCCCGGGGGCGGCTTTACAGCAGCCGGGTCTGGTGTTTCCCATCCAGCAGTACCAGGTGCGTACGACCTAGCATGACAACAAAAAGCGCTTGCGTTGCCTGTATGAGTGGATGGATGCAACCTAGAGGCATGTTAGTTCTAGTTCTGAGGAGTTCTTGTAACGGCTTGCGTTGTACATCTCCGTGGCGTAAATGGAGAACATACCCGCCGACCTACGACCCGCAAGTAGGCGGTAAACGTAAACGCACAGCGGGCGCGGCCTGAAATCTAGATGGGACGTTCAAAAGTATTCAGTAGTTAACTTCCGGAAGTTGGGAAGGGTTCGAAATAAGCGACGACGGAAGTTAACGGGTAGGGAATATTTTTGAAGTCCGTCGCGTCGACCCGGTTAGATTTCAGGAAGCGGCACGTCGTGCTGGTATGGAATCTAAACAAAGCTTTTTCTTCTTTCAGGCTCAATGAAAACACACATTAGCCACCGAGTCTACATAGTGATATTTTAATACTGTTCAGGAAAACCCGTTTATTGATTTATCGCGGAATTGCAATGTTCGTGCCAAATTTCTCGACTCTATTCACCCCCACCGATGTTTAGCCCAGAATGTAACCAAAGAATATATGTATATGTAATATATTACACGCGCAGATGAGTCATTGAAATCCATCCATAGTTAGTTCACTTCAGGAGGCGATTTTTCCTGTTAGGCTTCTCACTTTTTTGGGTGAATGCGAAGAGAGGTTGTAGATCCTGCACTGCACGTGGCTATTTTGGTCACGATCCCTGCCCGTTAGCTCACTGGATGCCTAAGCATGACATGACGTATGTTGGCAGCTAACAGAAGAAGACTGGTTGGCTCCTAGTCTATTGGTGTGATTGCCGTAATCCAGTTACTTCAATGGGTCCTGTCGACAACGCACTTGAAAGTGCAGCCCTATTTGCCTCTTGCTGTTACGATTTTAATGAATCGTGTCGTTCGTATAACCCAGCACAATTAGAACATCGTTCGGGAGTGTTTCGCTTCGTTTAGTTTTCGATGCTTTTCCTACTCGCACTGTACAATCGCAAATATTTTCCTAATCCTAAAATCTTTGAATCTAAAACAGCTTTGAAGTAAGAATATTTAGAATTTATTATTTACATAGAGTGTAAAGGTCTCGATCTAAACGAAGCTCCTACCATGTTCTGATTGTACTGGTCTAAGAGAATATCTGGTTGTTTCGTTTAGTTAGAAAAATCTCCATGTTGAACATGTTTAGATGTAAGAGTTTATATTTGTAAAAACTTCGACCGATCGGTCCCTGTTCTGCGTTTATGATTTCGTGTTCTCACTTGTACAAACATAAGTAGGCTAAGGATTTAGTCACTGTGGACGAGACGAGATCGTAGGACGATCGTAGATTAGATAGCGTTAGGGGAATTGGCGACGCGTTTTGTCAATTGGTCGGCCACCACCAAGCATATACATACTGTAATATTACTGTACATACAGAGAGATATCGCATATAAGCAGTTATTGAGATGTGATGTCAGTAGTGAACGTAGAACTGCTTTGTCGACAAGTGTTAGGCTCTCATCTCAAAACACGACGCATAATATACATAGCCTAACGTGATATCGCAAAAAAAATCCGACATTTTATATATACATATATAATATGAATGGAGGAAAGTTTTGATACAAGAATTAAACAAGTATACCGCAGTCTATACATAGATAGGATGACGAGTATTATTTAGCGTTTATATTATTATAAATAGCTATATGTTCGTTAATGGCAGTATATTTGCACGCTAAAATGTAGGAGCACCACATATGTAACGGCTGTATTCATGTTATAAGTGTAAAGGAAGCCCTGCCCTTCGTATGGTTGTACAAATATCAATTAAATTAAGTATATTATCGTATCATTTCCACGCGACTTGTGTACCGTACGTTTGGACTAGTCAATTACTTGCTGCAACACGTTCCACACGTACCGCTCAGCGATCGTCTCTCTTGTCGGTAACCCTATCAGCAAAACCTCTTAATGCACAAACGCATTCACGTTTAGTTGCCGTTATCAAAGAGTTATGCTTTCCGACGGCTTTGAAACCAATGCTTTCCGACGTTAATCAAAGTTAAAATAAAGTAAACGAAAAAAGTATATAAAAAACTGAAAAGCGGACTACAAAATATTCTTTCCTCGTCGACAATCACCGTTTTTATCAAATCTCCGTTTTAAGTCAGCTTCAATCAAAAAGACGGTATTCAATTCGACTGACAATAAATTAGTTTCTGTTACCTGCATGGAGTCTTCAATTTAAAAGTATCAAAAGTATCAATTTCTTAAGACTTTTGAATTTAAAAAGAAAGGTCGATGATTATCGTTGCCGATAGATTATTGTTATCATTACCGTTCTGTGATATTAATTTTAAACGACGTTAACGCTTCTTATGGCTGAATGGGTTACTTCGCTTGCATTTAACCAACATGTGTATGTATGATTTGTACGTTTAATGCAGATGAAGACATGTTGATGCAGATGCCGATGACTATCGGTCAGCAAGCGTAAAGTTTAAAAGTAAAACGTGTTAAGTCAAATGTAGAACATATCACGGGGTTAAAGCGTTGCGTTATGTTGCGTTGTGTCGTTCTAGTCGTTCATGTTGGTTTTATGAAAGCAACGCCTCTTTTTTCGATAGACGATGTTACCGGAATACTAATTGTCAATATTTTCTTTTTAAGCTACAAGAGTAGATATAAATATATACGTGCATTGATATTTTCTCGAAGTACTCTGATGTTTAGAAATATTATAAATGGAGTAACAAAAAAAATAATAAAAATAAATAAAGAACCGCGTGCTTGATTTCATTTCCATACTAACACTGTAAGTAATTTTTAAAAAATGGCCAAAGAACTATTTTTGTGTGCTAGACCATTTTCAGAGATAAAAGCGAACTACAAAACAAAAATAAATGTGGAGTTGTGTGGAAAAGAAATTGAGGTGAAGTATAAAAATGTATAGGCAACCTATTTTTATTAGGGAAATGCGGGACTTACATGTGCGAATTTATTTTTTACTTAGAACAGATTCGAACGAAAATCAAAAGCGTTTTATTATTAAGTTATGTTGAGTTTCGTTGAACTTCGAATTTAGTACTCTGTAGAAACGAGAGAAAAAACAAATTCAGCAGCAAAGGTCTTCTTAAGGCGAAAACGGTGATTAAATAGTTTATTGTAAATCTAGATAGAACAAATATTTAAGGAAAATAAAATTTAAAAAAGAAAACAAACCTTTGCTAGCTGATAACAGGGTGACAATTGTATAAAAAAGTGTTTTATATCACAAGCTATATAACGCATTACATATAAGCGTGTATATAGCACGCACCCAGATAACAAAAATATTATATACAAAAATACAACAAACCTAGGTTATTATATGTAGAACATGGAATTGAAATAAAGACAGTTACAAACAATTTTAATCGCATTTTTTCTTCTAACCCGAAAGGAATGCTAAGAACTTCAAAAACGTGACTTTGATAACGACTTCCAGTTGAGGTAAGTACGATAAAAATTTGATTACATTCATTCTGCGATTATTAATCATCGAATTACTAATTTTTTATTCACGGACTTCCAATAGTTTTATCAAATCACAACAAGTTTTAAATACACCTTATCGCAACGATAGGAAACGTATAACTTACACCTCACATGCTAAATATGCATTCAAAACTATCGATTTTTGTCGAGAATATCGCATGTAATACCGTTAATATTATTAATTGCACACGCAACGAATTCCAAACATAGATTTTGACGAGAGGGCAAAGGGAAATATCGAAAAGTAAAAGCCCAACCCATTTTGACATGTGTTGATTGAGGTAGCATTTATACAAACAAACAATACCCGAAATTAATTATACGAAAACAGTTAACGTTGTTGGTTCTTTTGAAAAACGACAACGTCCTACACAATTGTCTCAACATATTGTCATTTCATTTCAACTACATCACTCATAACTAATTAAATAGAATTTATCAATTTTCTATTTTAAACTCACCTAAAATCCATCATTTAACTCGGTGCCACTCATCACTTTATATTTAACTCAAACAGGTTAAAATCACAATTTTTATGTATACAGGTGTCCCGTATTTTCGGGATCAAAGCATTATAAGGTTGAAGGATACATTATTCTGAAGCAATTTTTCCAATAGATTCGACACGGAAAGAGAAATAATCTTGTTCCGTGAATTCGTGCGGTTACTATAAACATTTCGAAAAATCGCTTGTATCCTTCAACCGTATAATACTCTGATTCGGTAGATACGGAACATTATGTATATTTATATCACTATACAACTCCACTTTTCAAAATATTGAATTTTTTTATTAATGAAAACGATTTTAAATTATAATTTAAGCAAATATTATACAAAACATTTTTACCTATAATTGAATTCTAAATAAGTAATATTCGAAAACATTTTTGATATAATTAATTATTAAGATAACTCCAAAAATATCATCTTTATGTCACTATACAATGCTACTTTGCGAAGATATCGAAATATTTTATTAATAAAATCGATTTTAAATCATATTTTTAGTAAATATTACACGAAACATTTTTCGATAAAAAAAATGTTTGTACTGTATACAGTTAATAATTTTATACTAGTAAATAAGCCAATCAAGGAAAATTTTTAACAAAATTATTCGAAAAAAATTTTGGTATAATTATTAATTATTAAAATAACCCCAAAAATATCATTTTTATATCACTGTACAACACCACTTTGCGAATATATCGAAATTTTTTATTAATAAAATCGATTTTAAATTATATTTTGTATATAGTTTGTGGGGTATATTTTTTATAGTTATTTTATTCTATCTAAAACTAATGTATGTGTGTATTTAAAAGTTAATGTTGCTATGGTGATAACCATACATATTATGATGGATCATAATGAATCAAATAATTGCCAAAATTTGTATTTAAAAATTCGATAACAACTCTGGCATTATGTGCTGGTATGGAGCATCAGCATGTTAAGTGTCAAAGTATAACAAAACTGAATAAAACTTTACAATGAATTTCGAAAATTATGAAAAATGTAATATGATGGAATGCTATATGTATTATACCTCAATATATTAAGACAGCACATTGAGCCTTTGGTCGACAATTTGCCATTAAATATGTCTCAAATGATATATTTTCAATATGACGGAGCACCAGCACATAATGCCAGAGTTGTTAGTGAATTTTTAAATACTACTACAAATTTTGGCAATAATTGGAAACAATGTTTTCCATCATGGTATTGTTATCACAATAACAACAGGTAGGTTTTAAATACATACAATAGTTTTAGAAAGAACAACAGGACTGCATCCATTGTTGTGACAACCTGCCCGCAAACTACGTCACACCATTTTCCATGCCCAGCTGTTGTTATGGTCTATGCGTTTGCTGTGTATTTTTAGAGGTTATATCCTAGACGTATTCATATTATTTTTGAAGTTTTATGTTTTTAGACGTATTAATGTCTATCTTATAACCTCTAAAAACACAGACAGTTACCAGGCGTGGCAAATAGTGTGATGTAGACTGCGGACAACCAAACCGTAGTGGACTACAAAAATGCGATGGTGTTCCAGTCCTGTTAGATTCTACTATCCTTGAGAGAGAACCAAAAAAATTGATACATTATGTTCCATCATAGTATGTATGGTTATCACCGTAGCAACATTAACTTTTAAATACATACATTATTTATAGATAGAACAAAATGAATTTTTGTTAATTATTCAATAACTATAAGAAATATACTCGACAAACTATATATAATTGTGAATTCTTCGTAAAAAGTTGCCCATATAATGTTTTATTTAGAATACTCAATCTTTGATAATAAGTGAGATATTTGCGATTATCGTTTTCGCAAAATTTTCAGTTTTTGTCGATAGGGCGAAAACAAAAGACGATAGCTGTTCGGAGTTTTCGGCATTAGCATTTTCTCGAAAAACGAGATCATGACATGTAAGCTACTTCCTTTCTATCTCTTTTAGTTTCGGAGATAGCCCATGCGGACAACGAACTTGGGACATTCTGTACAGGGAAATTAAATAACTTTATACTAGTAAATATCCCAATCTAGCAAAAATCTTGAAAAATGTTTCAAATAAAAATTATTCATAATTTAATTCCAAATAATTATTATTTAAAAAAAATTTTGATATAATTATTAATTATAAAGATAATATCATTTTATGCCACTTTGCGAAGATATCGAAATTTTTATTAATAAAATCGATTTTAAATCGAAACATTTTTCGATAAAAACAAAAATTTTTGTACTGTATACAAGGAAATTAAATCATTTTATAGTAGTAAGTAGTACAATCTAGGAAAAATTTTGAAAAATGTTTAAAATAAAAATTAGTTTAATATATAAATTTAATATACCGTAAAATGGGGTGAAATTGTGCCTCCTATGGTGAGAATGAATTTAGCGCCTCGGATATGATATTGTCGATGTATCGGCTATTAATTATTGACTACGAAAGTAATGTTACTTCGGAACATTACGGAACATCAAAAAAACGTGTGGCACATTCTTACCATAAGAGGCACAATTTCAACTAATTTAATTCTCAATAACTATTATTTAAAGAAATTTTGGATATAATTATTAATTATTAAGATAACCCCAAAAATATAATTTTTATTTCACTGTACAACGCCACTTTGCGAAGATATTGAAATATTTTATTAATAAAAACGATTTTAAATGACATTTTAAGTAAATATTATACGAAACATTTTTCGATAAAACCAAAAATGTTTGTACTGTATACAGGGAAATTAAATAATTTTATACTAGTAAATAGCCCAATCTAGCAAAAATGTTGAAAAATGTTTCAAATAAAAATTACCTATAATTTAATTCTAAATAAGTATTATTCGAAAAATTTTTTGTTATAATTATTAATTATTAAAATAACCTCAAAAATATCATTTTTATATCACTACACAAAACTCCTTCGCGAAAATATCGAAATATTGTATTAATAAAGTCGATTTTACATCATATTTTAAGCAAACATTATACGAAACATTTTTCGATAAAAACAAAAATTTTTGTGTTGTGTACAGGGAAATTAAATAACTTTATACTAGTAAATATCCCAATCTGGCAAAAATCTTGAAAAATGTTTCAAATAAAAATTATTAATAACTTAATTCCAAATAAGTATTATTTAAACATTTTTTTGATGTAATATTAATTATAAAGATAACTCCAAAAATATTATTTTTATATCATTATGCCACTTTGCGAAGATATCGAAATTTTTATTAAATAAAATCGATTTTAAATCATATTTTAAGCAGTATTATACGAAACATTTTTCGAGAAACATTTTTGTACTGTGTACGGAAAAATTAAAAAATTTTATACTAGAAAAATATCCCAGTCTAGCAAAAATCTTGAAAAGTGTTAATAATTAATTATTCATAATTTAATTCCAGATAAGTATTATTTAAAAAAAAATTTGATATAATTATTAAGACAACCCAAAAATATCATTTTTATTAATTAATATTTATTATTATATATTATTATTATTATTATATTATATATATTATTTTGTACTATATACAGGGAAATTAAATCATTTTATAGTAGCAAATAGCGCAATTTAGGAAAAATTTTGCAAAATGTTTCAAATAAAAATTAGTTATAATTTAATTCTCAAGAACTATTATTAAATTATATTTTAAGCAAATACTATACGAAACATTTTTCGTTAAAAACAAAAATTGTACTGGGAAATTAAGTAATTTTATACCAATAAATAGCGTAATCTAGCAAAAATTTTGAAAAATGTTTCAAATAAAAATTACCTATAATTTAATTCTAAATAAGTATTATTCGAAAAATTTTTTGTTATAATTATTAAAATAACTTCAAGAAAATATCGAAATTTTGTATTACTTAATAAAATCGATTTTACATCATATTTTAAGCAGCAAAAATCTTTAAAAATGTTTCAAATAAAAATTGCTTATAATTTAATTCTAAATAAATATTATTTGAAAATATTTTTAATTTAATAAATTATTTTAAAATTTTACTAACTTAATTTTCTTCACCTACCTTTTATTAAAGTTCAGAATTGAGCACAACTTTACACTTTAATAAAAAGAGTATTGCACTAATTTCGACCTTTCTCGTTAGCTTTATTATTTAAAATGAACGATTCGACTACTTCAGCCGGTAGTTTTCGATAAGTTATAAATTTTGAATCATCCGATAGATATGTTATGTATTGAGTCAGTTTGTTATGTTGCCTATATCTGAATTATTTTTTAATATATTTTTTTAATATAAACTTAAACAAAATATATAGAAACTTAATAAATAAATTGTTTTTTATTTTAACTTTTTAATACATAATTTTTATATATTTAAAAGTTGCGATCTAAAAGGATAGTGGCACCATCTTTGGAGCGAAAATTGACGTGGAGCTTACGTAATAACTTACGAGATGGTGCTGCGAACTTATAAACAGATCTTTTGGGAGTTTTGCCGGTTTCGGAGCTGCTAAGACATCAATTGTAACCCGCTCTAAGAGCTCACAAATTTATGAATCTTCATAAGGTGTATTTCGGCGTTTCATCATGGAAGCAACTCCACATATATTAACACTGAATATGGTAAGGTTCCTTTTAATTACTAATACTTACAACACAATACAGTGAAATACCAATAATGTACAAATTTATTTGTAATTCACTGTTGACGATAACACTGAAAATTTTTAATAATTTTAATTATAATATAGGCTACAAATCTTGATATTGTACTAAAAAGATTGAGGCAACCAGAAAGCTTGAGCTTCAACACTTATGTTCGATTGATACAAGGATTCTATCGAGAACTTCTTAATACATTTCATACCATTGATAGTGTTGCTCAAATATTGCTACAGTCTCTGGATGAACAATACATATATTTTATTAATAATATTCCACCAAGTCATCATTTATTTGAAGTAAATATGATGTATATTTTGAATATAGACGAATTAGAAAGAGATACAATTTTTCGTATATATGACCATACATTGCGAGGATTATCGATTCACCGAGAAACCCATAATATCCTTAAATTTTTGGATAAATTGGTCCAAAAGTACATTGTAAAACAAGTCCAGCATGATTTTCTTCGTAAGCTGCAAGGTCTTGTGGGGCCTTCTGATAAAAAGTGCCTAAAGTTGGTTATTAAAATTGCATGTTACATAGTAACTAAATGGAATTGCGATGAGGAACAAGAAGAACTTTTTGATAAACTTATGATACACACAAAATGGTCGAAATTAGATTATTACATTTGTAGCAGCTTGTATAGGAGATTTGGCCGAAACAGCGACGCAGTAAAAATTGTTATGGAAAAAATATTCCAAGGTTTTCAAGAAAATCACTCCGCTTATGGGGCATTTATATTGTTTAAAGAAGTAATTCGCGTTTCTTTCGAGAATTATTATGATATTATTGAAGACGATATTGTATCAGTTTTAGAACAGGATATCAAGCAGAGGTAAATTAATCTTTTTATGATTTCGTGTTATTTTGGCTTCTGCATATTTGTCGGTTTTTGATTACCCTTATCAACAACATAGTTATGACTCCTTTCATACGGCCAAAGTCTAATACAAACTTGATTATTTCCGTTTAATCACCTTTTGTTCCTTAGCTATTTTATTAGTCACATTCCTTTTTCAAAACTTTCTTATCAACGCTTAAAAATTTCCGCCTAATAGTTTAACAATTACATTTTTTTTTCAAATTTAAAATTTTTCACGTTTAATAGATATTATAGATAATTTCGTTGGTGATGGTACAATTTTTGTATATATCAAAAAATGAATAATCAATTTTTTAAAACTTATTTTGGAACAGATAATAGATAGATAGAAAAAATGTTGAAAAATGTTTCAAATAAAAGTTACCGATAATTTAATTCTAAATAAGTATTATTTGCGAAGATATCGAAATTTTTTATTAATAAAAACGATTTTAAATCATATTTTAAGCAATTATTATACGAAACATTTTTCCTTAAAAACAAAAATTGTACTATGTACAGGCTGTCGACGAGGCATAACGACGATAATAAATAATAATATCTATATCTGGGCCTTAGCGTAGCAGGTTACTTTTAAAATGTAAAAAAATGTTTTAAACCCTTCGGTCGATCTTGGCAAGACATTTATATAAAAAGTCGATCTTGATCAAAAATTCGTGGACACCAATGACATAGGCTATCTCCGAAACTAAAAGAGATAGAAAAAAAGTAGCTTACATGTCATGATGTCGTTTTTCCAGAAAATGCTAATGTCGAAAACTCCGAAAAGTTAGTCTTTTGTTTTCGCCCTCGTCATCGGCAAAAACGGCAACAAAATGGGCAACTTTTTACGAAGAATTCAGTGGCGTAGGTAGAATTTTTTCCCCATCTTTTATTTTCGAGATTTTAGAAGTAACTTTATTTTTTTAAATGGAAACCATAGTTGGCTATGACCTAAAATAATTTGTTATTTTCTTTTGATAACAGATATAAAGATATAAAGGGTGAGTCAGAAAGAATGGGAAATCCGAATACCGGAGACACTAGACACCAAAATATGACGATTTAACCTAACATCTCTTATACAAATGTCGGTGGTTTTCAAGGCACAGGGTGTTGAAAGTTAAATTCTTATTTCGAAAGCTTTTTGTACTATTAACATAAAATTTGGTAGATATATGTTTTCGAGCATAAGAAATACGAATTTGTTTTGTGAGAGAGTTTGAGATATCAAGTCATGACTATTTTGTCAGTTGAGGTATGGTGAATTAGAACCAGAAATCTGAAGGAGCTTTCAATTCTACACAAGAAAGGTAGTCTTGCTTACATTGTCTAAGTCTACTGGTTTCCAAGTTATCTGCTTTTAATTGTTTCAAAGTAATTTTAAGGTTAACATTTAAAATCAATAACACACAGTAACAATAGCAATTAGTAACGATAATAATCGATAACAATAATAATTAATTAATAACAATAGAATATTGTGACTATATTCAAAAATCCAGTGGATTTAAATCTGGATTTCTCACTATTAGAACGGTTCTTATGTGAATCACCCTGTATATTTGTTATCAGAAGAAAATAACAAATTATTTTAGGTATTCAGCCAACTATGGTTTCCATTTAAAAAGATAGTTACGTCTAAAATCTCGAAAATAAAAGATGGGAAAAAAATTCTACCTATGCCACTGAATTGAGAATATTGAAGTGAGATATTCGCGATTGTCGTTTTCACAAAATTTTCAATTTTTGCCGATAGGGCGCAAACAAAAGACGATAGTTCGCAGTTTTCGGCATTAACATTTTCTCAAAAGACGAGATTATGACATGTAAGCTACTTTTTTTCTATCTCTTTTAGTTTTGGAGATAGCCTATGCGGACAACGAAATTGGGACACCCTATACAGGGAAATTAAATAATTTTATACTAGTAAATAGCCCATTCTAGCAAACATTTTGAAAAATGTTTCAAATAAAAATTACCAATAATTCAATTTCAAATAAGTATTATTCAAAAAATATTTTGATATAATAATTAATTATTAAGATAGCCCCAAAAATATCATTTTTATATCACTATACAACGCCACTTTGCGAAGATATCGAAATTTTTTATAAATAAAAACGATTTTAAATCATGTTTTAAGCAAATATTATACGAAACATTTTTCGATAAAAACAAACATTTTTGTACTGTGTACAGGGTGGTTCAAATTCGATGTCCGAATAGGCTATCTCGGAAACTATAAGAGTTAGAAAAAAAGTAGCTTACATGTCATGATCTCATTTTTCGAGAAACTGCTAATGCCAAAAACCTTAAAGCGCTATCGTCTTTTGTTTTTCCCCTAGAGACTAAAATTGAAAATATCGTAAAGCCAGCAAGTGCAATTATCTTTGTTATTATTATAGGTAGAGTATTATAACTAAGACATTCTATGGACACTTTTTTACAGAGAATTTGATGGCGTGTTCAAAAAGAATTTTTCGGTTTTAGATTTTGAGATATTATGATAATTTTCGTTTTTTTAAATGGAAACAACCACTGATTATACGCTTATTAAATTCGTAATTTTTTTCTGATTACAAAAATATGGGGTTATATAGGTCTATTTCTTATTGTTTTAGAATAAAGTTAAAAATAAACTTTTTTTTATTGTCGTCAAAGAAATTAAATTTACAGTTTCCTGTAAATTACGGTACTATAACTAAAAATTAATATAAAATTTACTTTATTTTCTAATATGTAACATTCTAACATGTTAAACTTTTCGTAATTAAAAAACAGAATTTTTAATTTGACACTTCTGAAAATTTTTGAATACAAACAAATGTTGCTATGTTTATTTGAATCAAAAAAATATATATATGAGCGCCATATATCAATAATTTATTAAGTCATTTAATAATAATATTAAATATTAATAAAAAATGTGAAATAATGCAATCTATTCTAACTAAAACAAATATAAATTAAATAGTTCAACAAATGTATTTGTTTCAAATATTAGAAATATGTTTTTTTAATTTTTAGTTATAATTTACAGGAAACTGTAAGTTTAATTTTTTTGACGACACTAAAAAAAAGTTTATTTTTAGCTTTATTCTAAAACAACAAGAAATAGACCTGTCAAACCCTATATTTTTGTAATCAGAAAAAAATGTGGTTGTTTCCATTAAAAAAAACGAAAATTGTCATGATATCTCAAAATCTAAAACCGATAATTTTTTTTTGACTACGTCATGAAATTCTCTGTAAAAAAGTGTCCATATAATGTCTTAGTTATAATACTCCACCTATAATAATAACCAAGATAATTGCACTTGTTGGTTTTACGATATTTTCAATTTTGGCCTCTAGGGGAAAAACAAAAGACGATAGCGCTTTGAGGTTTTCGGCATTACCAATTTCTCGAAATACGAGATCATGACATGTAAGCTACTTTTTTTCTAACTCTTATAGTTTCCGAGTTAGCCTATTCGGACATCGAGTTTAAACCATCCTGTACAGGGAAATTAAATAATTTTATACTAGTAAATAGCCCGATCTAGCAAAAATTTTGAAAAATGTTTCAAATTAAAATTGCTTATAATTTAATTCTCAATAAGTATTATTTGAAAAAAATGTTGATATAATAATTAATTATTAAGATAACACCAAAAATATCATTTTCATATAGCTATACAACGCCACTTTGCGAAGATATCGAGATTTTTTATTAATGAAAACGATTTTAAATCATATTTTAAGCAAATATTATACGAAACATTTTTCGATAAAAATAAAAATTGTGGTACTGTGTACAGGGGTGGGTGAAAAATTAAAATGAATAGTCTTAATATACATCGGGTTGCAAATGCCTCCTTACGAGATTAGCGGGTCAAAGTTTCTTTAAAATTAAACATTATCTGTAATAAAAAGCCCTTTATTAAAAATATTTTCAACGCCACTGCTAACTTTGTATTTTCGTGTATAGTAATCAATTATCTATCAATTGGTCTCTTACAAAACTTTGATTAAAGTAACAGTTTTTGATTGGATTAACAAATTTTCTACAAACGTGTTTTTCTTAAATACTATTGCTTTGATCAAAGTTTTGTAAGGGACCAATTGATAGATAATTGATCACTTTACACGAAAATACTGCCCGTTTGACAAAATTAGCAATGGCGTTGACAATATTTTTAAAGAAAGGCTTTTTATTGTAGATAATGTTTAATTTTAAAGATACTTTGACCCCCTATATCTCGTTAAGGAGACATTTCCGACCCCATGTATATTATGACTTTTCATCTTAATTTTTGATGTATTACCTGCCCTAGAAGTCTGTTAGCGGTTTTTTGAATCACCCTGTATAATTTTATACTAGTAAATAGCCCAATCTAGCAAAAATTTTGAAAAATTTTTCAAATAAAAATTACCTATAATTTAATTCTAAATAAGTATTATTCGAAAAATTATTTGGTATAATTATTAATTATTAAGATAACCCCCATAAATATTATTTTTATATCACTATACAACGCCACTTTGCAAAGATATCGCAATTTTTTATTAATAAAAACTATTTTAAATCATATTTCAAGCAAATATTATAGGAAACATTTTTCGATAATAAGAAAAATTGTTGTACTGTGTACAGGGTGGGCAAATTTGGGTGTTATTATAGGCTATCTCAGAAACTATAAGAGATACGAAAAAAGTAGGTGCCATGTCCCGGTCTCTTCTTTCGACACTAATCCAATCCCGTAAACACCAAACCTCTATCTTCTTTTGTTTTCAAGTTATAGCCAAAAAGTCAAATTTTCGTGATTGCAAAAAATGCTCGTATTTCGTATATTACGAAATATTTTTTTCATTTTAAATTTCCCAAAGTACTAAAAATCTTGAAAAATGTTTCAAATGAAAATTACTTATAATTTAATTCTAAATAACTTTGATTAACTGTATTATTTCCGTTTAATCACCTTTTGTTCCTTAGCTATTTTATTAGTCACATTCCTTTTTCAAAGCTTTCTTATCAACGCTTAAAAATTTCCGCCTAATACTTTAACGATTACAACATTTTTTTTTTAATTTAAAATTTTTTGTCACGTTTTATAGATATGCATGGTATTAATTATAATTAATTTAATTATAATTTCGTTGGTGATGGTACAATTTTTTTATGTATTAAAAAATGAAATAATCAATTTTTTAAAACTTGTTTTAGAACATTACGTTCGTCTATAATAACATATGTTATTCCAACAATTTCGGATGCGGCTCGAGAAAAATTTATAAAACGAATTGGTACATTTAACGCATTCTACAAATTACAAGTTATTAAATATTATTGCCACAAAGATTATTTAGAAGAAATTGACTTCGATTTAATCAACGAGATCGTCAGTAAAGTAGCGCTTAATAAGAAAGATAAAACCGTAATAAATTTGATTTTTGATTTATGTTGTTCAAATCCGAACAAGGATTCTTACGTTGAAGAGGAGCATTTCCGCTTGTTTATGAGATGTATTAAAAAACAATATGGGAGACTTGAACCAGTTATGAGATATAATATTCATACATTTTTAAATCTTGTGTTATTATCGATGGTTAGAAAAAACCGTCCTTTGTATTTGGAATTTTTTCTTGAATTAGATAAATTGGTGCGAATATTTCCTAATAAGTATCATAACCCGAAAGCTTCATACCAAACACGAGTTTTAATGGAAATTCATGTTAGGGCTTTATATTTATTGTCTCGAACATACACGAAGTTGCGAGAAAAATTTCCTTTTGTGGATTGCGAAGATTTAAGCGGAAATAGAATCCCGACGCGTCAGATTTTTGAAAGATACATTCAAAGGGGTTGGGATATGATCAAGCAAGTTACTTTAAGTGGGCTTGGAACTGAATATGCATACGATTTAATTAGTTACAACAAAGCGAATTATGATGAGGTGTTAATATCTGGGATAAAAACGAGTTTATTCGTTAGTTTAACCGTCCCAAATTTAGACAAATTGAGTGCCATACGGACCTACGCAAAAACAATTAAAAAGATTTATTTAAATCTTTATAGAATCACCGACATTGACAACTTAATTCGACTTTTAATTGAAGCACTCCACCAGCAATACCTCAACATTAAGGATTCTCGAGATTACCTCGCTCATTTAGCAAATCCAGTTTATACAACCGGAGAGGCTATACTTGTTTTCATCGACTGTTTTATTACAAACGATGGTCTTCGGTATCTTCAAGGATTATGCAGCGAAATTATATACGTCACATTGCCTTTGATTGACACAAACGTTGATGCTTATTCTAAGAAATGCATTGAACAAATTTTTGTGGTAAGAATTAAAAATAAATTTAATCTAAAATTAATTCCATTTTTTTATAGACTCATTTGGAAATATTAAAACATTGCGTAATAAAACAAAACAATTTGGAAGTTGATCAAGAACTGATGAAATTGTTTTTCCGCATTTGCGACTACATTATGTGCCAAACGAAATATCGCAAAGCCACATCTGCTGCTGTAAAAGTCGCGAGTGAAGTCGTCGGATCAATTTCCTATTTGTCGGATGATATCTATGATTACTTAATTTCGCGATTAAATACTCACCTTTACGAACTTGAAGATGCCGCTTTAAACAGATGCTCGGGAAATAAAGAAATGATTTTGTTTACTTTTAAATCGTTCCAATTAAGAAGGAATTTATTTCCAATTCACTTCCAAAGAATGCTGTCCGCTTCGCATGGTTATCACGAATTACATCTTATTGCGATTACAGCTATTATAAGTGATGCTAAATTAAAATCGTTGACTGATCCTTTTCTTATTGACGTTTTTAGAAGGACTTTAGACATTATGGCACATCCAAAATTTTCAAACAGGTAAAATTATTATAATAATACAAGTATTATTATTAATACTTATTTTTTAGGAATCTCGCTGCTCAAATAATGCAAGTATTAGCAAATCGTATAATGGGGACGAAATCTGAATTGGGAACCCGTCCAGTATCTCTTTTGCACGTTTTTGAACGTTTCCCAGAACTTGAAAAAATTTGCTTTGAAACTCTTATTTCCAAAAATAATCACAGTAAATTTGGAGTATTAATTTTTATTGGTGAATCTCCGCATTGTTCTTCATTATTTGGGGAGATATGCGATTTTCCTCGAGATCAAATCGGGCAATTATTGGAAACGCCTGGTTTAAAAATGATTGCTAATAAAGTATATGCAATGACGGTTAACATAAATCAAATTTACAGCACAATTTTAAAAGCGATTCAAGGGCTGCATTTTGTTGATGTAACTCCATGCTCACTTATGTTTGTAGAATATTTACTTACAAGATTGATGAATTTAAACGTAAAAGATGAGGTTATTCAAGATGTGCTTGTTCGTTTAGAGTTGCTTTTAAGATCTCCTGGTGTAATGGGAACTCCAGGGGCTACAAAGTTTTTGAGATATCCGTCTTGCAATATATACAAGGTATCATTGAAACATTCCCCTCAAAATGATATCGCTGAGGATTTATTAGGTCTGATTTGTAAGTGTTTTATTTCAGAGAATTATGTAGCTCTTACTTTTGCTTGTTTTTATACCGGAACAATTTTTCAGAGGTTAAAGGAAGTTGCCAAAGAGGCGTTGCTTCAAAAATTGGTCCAACTTTTATTTGAACCAAACGGCGGCTCTTATCTTATGATTTGCCAGTATTATTTAACCATTAAAAATATTATTATTTGTTATCCCCATATTAATAAAACTTTTGTTGACGTTAAGTTTAATTTAGTTAGTAATGTTTTTGTTGCTGAAATCATTACGTTTATTTTATCGCGTAAGGAGTCTATAACAGAACGCGATTTGCGTTCGTTACAAGATTTAAAATGTTATCTTCCAATACTTTTTAAACAATCTGATACTGACGACGAAATTGTGTCAGAATCTATTGTGAGCACATTAATTAATCTTTCTAATCTATTTCCAAAAGTTGATTTTAAATTATTAGATTTTTATTTTTTATTAATTGTTGCAATATTTTCTATTTCGGATAAAAGCAGATTTAAACGTTTATTTAAAATTATTATTGGGAAGGATGATGAAATTTCATACCAAATTCAAAGATTACCAAAGATAATTAAACGTGATTTAGCCAAAGAATATCCTAATTTTATTAAAAACACTTCGAAATATATTTCGTTGAATCTCAATAAATTCTTTGTTGACTACACCCCACTTTACAATTGCTCAGAAGAATACATAAACGTTAAAATAGACGTTTTCCTGTTAAAAACGGTATTGGAGGAACTTAAAACAATTTAGTGTTAACCTATACTATATAGATTATGACATTTTTATATAAATGTAGATGTTTTTATAAAAGTTTTTAACAATTATTGATGACATTTTAACACACCTTCAATCATAAATGCAATATTTTATATTACATCTACATTTTTTGTTACTTATATTGCTCAATAAATAAATATTTTTACAAATTCTTAAAATTTCTTTTTATTCTTAATTATCACATGATATTATAAAGAAATATTTTTAATGGACATTTACTTCCATAACATAATTTAATACTCATAATATTCCTCATTTATGATGTATTATTTATTTTAACATTCCAACGCTATTATTAATTGCAAGAAATTTTATCCCACTTTATATTTAGTATGAGCTACTTTATTATTTGTAATCTGGATTCTTCATTTTCAGTATCTTCCTTAATTTCATCGTTATATTGAATTTCTTTTTTATTATTTTTTCTGGATTAGGCCATGTTTTTGATCTTCTTACTTTGTGTCGCCTATCTGACATATTCAATATCTGGTTTCATTATAAGTTCGTAGGCTATCATAGCTGGTGTTATTAGAAATAAAGCTTGAAACTTCCGGGTTACGCCGTGCCAATTTTGAACTTGTCAAACTACTATGAACAACTTATTAGCGTCGAGATCTACCTTGGTTTAACTTGTGGACTCCTATTTCGCAGCCCTGTAGCATTATGGACTTCGTAACATCTATAAATAACTTTCACTTGGAACTGAGCGGCCACTTTCCCCGCTTTGTTAGTGCAAAGCTGAAGTGTACATAGTTAATAGCTCTCTTGATGGCAATCTCCGTTTCCAACACTGTTAATCTCCAGCGGCATTTGGCTACATCTTGCATGTGGGTCACCGCTAAACTCGTTTAGAATTTCCAGGTGCAGAATTTGTCATAGAGGACGTATTAATTGGGACCAAAGGGATTCCGTGCGTGGTTTCTAATATCCAAAATGATAAACATCACTGTCATACTATTTTTTTTGTATCATCATCGGTAAGTTGATAAGCACTCTAGTGATGCATACGAGAGTGTCTCGAGACGATACTCGGACAAGACAAGACGAGACTTTCATTGGTCTCGTCTCGTGCATGAGGTCTAGAGTCTCGTTGCAGGTAAGTATTTCTGCAATATTCCTGTAAATATTTTCGTATCTATATCAAAATGTTGTTGATTTAAAACCATATGCTCTTGAGGACAAAGAATGGATACTGCTAGAAGAAGTGCATAAATTACTAATCAACTTTGAAATACTTTCCAAGAAACTCGGAGGAGAGAACTACGTCAAATTACCTATAGTGGTTGTATGTATCAATATACTAATAGATAATATTGAGAGCAAAATATTTGCATGGGACCGAAAGGCAGATCGAAACGGTGTCGAAGAGCAGCTTATTGTTAGTTTTCAGGTTGAGAGAGACAAAATATTAAAGCATTATCGTAAAACCAATTAGATTTATGCTGCAGTTTTAATTCTCGATTCGCGGCATAAGATAGAAGTTTTTGATATGACAAGATGGAGCCAAGAATTAAAAGAAACTTCGATTCAGAAATTTGAAGATGTATACAAAGCCTATTTCCATCAATAAGAAGGCCAACGTTCGAAAGTAACGGCATTGGAGGAACAAGAAGATTCTAGAGCGGAAAAGTCGGATTTTGTAATTGATTTTGATGTTTTGTATGCAGTAAATTCTACGCCTTCCGAAGGAAAATGGATGCAGGAGCGTTAAAAATATTATTCTATGCTTCGGTGTAATAAAGACACAGATATATTACAATGGTGGAAAATTCATGCTTCTGCATTTCCTATTTTAAGTTTAATGGCACGAGATCTCTTAAGCATACCGGCTGCTTCATTAACTATAAGAAAACATCGAAATCGCCTTAATAATAAATCTGCACGATGTTTGTTATGCCTTAACGATTGGGTTAAAAACAAAATCATTTGCGACCGACAGGGCTGAGGACTGTAATTCTCTCTTCCGAGTCTTACATTATAGCAAGTATTTAAATATTCCTTATTGCACTGAGACAATAAGATTGATTATGCATGACGAGATTTCGATACTTTTATGAGACTCTCTTACGAGAAACGAGACGAGACGAGAGTGGAGGTTGCGAGACGAGACTTGATACAAGACTTATTAGTTCATCGGCGAGACGAGACAAGACTTTATGAAAATCTCGTCTACCACTAAAGCCACTAAAGCACTCCATCAAACAGGCACTAGATATATTTAGAAGTGTTACACCGTCGGTATTTTTGTCAAAGTCTTATTTATTGCCCAAGAGAATCCGGGTTTCCCAGAGTTTCCTCCTCCATTCATTCTTATTCCATGAACTTGTCTTCCATCTCGTATGAGGCGAACATATAGAATGTGTCAATGTTTTGCTCTACACCCTTGTCTAAGTTCTGGTATCACAAATATTTGCTATCTACCTACTCGGAATCAACATACATAGGCTCCTAGAACCTTTTCCGTATAAACAAGCAGTATTTAGAATACCTCTTTAATTTTCACACTTCAGCAGTTTTGCCTTCTTATTAATAGGTTAGATGCATTTCTTCTGTAGTCCATATTTGCTCGTATTTTTTGTATAGCTGACAGATTAGTCGATGCTACCAGATGACATTATTCTTTTGGAGTTCTTCTTCTATTCCTGCTAGTTTTGATGCTTCCTGTTCCTCGTCGTTTACTCCACTTCAAATCGCCGCGGCCTCGTCAGCATCTACATTCGCATTAAGCAGCTGATCAAAATACTGGGTCCATCTTTTTAGTATTAAGTTGGGGTCCTACACCAGGTGCCCATCTTTATCTTTGTGCCACGTGGTTATTGATTTGTCCGTTTTCTTCTTCATCTCGCCTCTCTGTATTCCTGGACATTTCCCCACGTTCTCCTCGTGTTGTTGCTTTATCGCAGTCCTGACCATTTTCCCCATCTTTCCCGTGTCGTCATATTGTTGTAAGATTGTACGCTTGTCGGCACCTCTTCCTTAATTGTTTTAGCTTATTTCTTAGCAAGAAATGGTCCGAATCAATGTTTGATCCTTTGCATGTCTTTTCATAAGTTCATGAGATTTGATGAAGTGATTATGATTATAATAATCGCCGATTAGTAGATGGTCTATTTGGTTGGAAATGTGCCCCTGGGGAGACGCCTAAGTTACCTTGTGTATGTTTTCCTAAAATAATTTGAAATATTCCTTTTTCTTTGATTTACATTTCAGCAATATGCGGTCGTTTTTGAGAGTTAACTCTTACCCATTCGATGACGGTTCCAAATCCGATATGAGAAACAACAGGCTGTGGAGTCGCACTTGTTTGGGCATTTCTGATCTTCATCCTGTATGCTTCTAGTAAAGTTGTTGAGGAGACAGATGTCTCGTTTATGTTGCTCGTTTCAGTGCGTCTACTTCGTTCCCTCTTTCTGATTTCCTTCGGCATACTTGCATTATATTTTGACTCTTTGCTCTTCTTTGTAGCATTTCTAGCATCGTGAAGATTCTTTCTTGATTATACAATCTTTTTTTGACTCCGTATTCTTCTATGTATGTAAGCTTCTGACCGAGGTTGGCGATTATTTCAAGTATTCGATGTTATAGCTTTTTTATTGACCACGCCACTTTTTGACACTTTCTTTCTCCTCATTCCTTCCTCTTCTTTCTGACATCTGTATTCTGTCTTGGTTCAGCATCTTATCTTTTTAGTCTCGTTCGAGCTTCTTACTTTCTCTACTTGCGTCTAATAGGTTCCAAGTTCTTGGTATTTGTTCTATGTATTCTCGGTATTGTATTTGCCTTCGTTCGGACTTCTCACTCCCTCTGGACAAGTTTATTAGTCAATTTCTAGCTTGGTTCTGACTTGAGTCTTCTTCATTTTGGTTTATCTTAAAGTTCTGTTTGAATTCGTTCGGACGTTTCATATTCCTCGGACTGATCTAATTATTTCTGGGTTATTCCTTCTTTGAATACCTCTTTATTTGTGGGTTTGGTTGGGTACAACCTGTGTTTTGTTTCTTTCGGTTTTGGCTTTTAAATGACCAGTACAGCAGCAGCCGACAGAAGCAGCAAAGCAGTAAGTTTAGGCAAAAAATCTTTTTGTTCGCACAGGGACTCCATTTTAGCCCTAGTTGTAGTAACCTATTTTTAGTTACCCCGTTTCAGTGAGGTTCCATTATACATATACTTATATAACACATCTATGCCCGCTATCTTCTACATGATTTCCCCACTATGTTGTAGGTAACAGGTTTAAAAGAAATTTCAAAGCAGTAAGTATTAATGGCACTGTATTTCAAAAAATTAAACACATAGTATACAGTTTTAAAAGAAGTCAACATTAAATGAGGCTTTCAGTATTTTCTTGTCTTATTGTTTCTTTGAAAAGTACTTTGTAAGGCTGACAAATTTTCCGCATCTCTACCTCGACCATATGAGGTGAGATACAGTTCATTTTCTTTCATTAAGAAATTATGTAAATAACAACAGCAAGAGTAACTGTTGTTAACACACGAAACCGTGAACTCAATATCCCGAATGCATTCTCTACAACTACGCGAGCGCGTGACAACCTTTAATTGAATATTTGTCGAGGTGCATACAGTAATCTTTGAGAGTAAGGTTTCATTAAATTGTTATGTAATGCAAATGCCTCGCCAGCATCAAATACATATTGGAAAAGATCAATTGTTTTCGGCAATGCTGTAGGTGGGGGTAAATTCAGTTTTCCTTCCTGGAAAATTTCTCCAAATTTAGAGTAGATATTCCAACACCAAAATTATAAATTCCTTCTTTGCATTAACTAGAGCCAAAAGTACGATGCTGAAAATCCCATGTAATTATAATACAAGGAGCCTGAGTTGTCTGGTTTCGTTATAGCTATATGTTTCCCATCCAATGAGCCAAGAGTATTCCAAAAATGATGTCGTATTCCGAATTCGTGAGCTATATCTGTCCACTCTTCGGTATATAACAAAATAAAATATTGGTGCCATGATGTGTACCTTATTGTAAAAGGTTATTTCAGGAATTGGAGGAACAAGAGGATGATTCGGAGAAACAAGAAATAGGTGAATACGTTCAACGGACTTCTGCCACAGCATCAACATCTTCAATATTCCCCCAAACATTACCTCAAACTCATCAAACTAAAAGATTGAAATCGCTAGATCCGGTTTCGAAGCAAAATTTACTTTTGCAAAAAGCATGTTCACTTTTGGAAACCTTGTCGAACCCCGATACTAACATTCCGACAATTGCAAAAGCTTGATAGTAAAATTGCTGACATTAAATTCCACACAACGAGCTTTCGCAGAGAAAGCTATAGAGAATAAGTGACATCCTTTTTGGGGCAAGCTTCGGTACTCTTCATCGCAATGCCATTAAAATCAATGTGGAACAGAAACCTCCAGGAAGTTCAAATAATCCGCATCATTCCTCATCATTTTCGGCATTTAGTTACAGTACTTCTCCACCACAATACACTTCCCCATCTGTGACGACCTCACCAGAACTATGTAACGTCAAAACAGTCAACCACACATTAACTTCACTTTTTCACAACTTTCAATGATAAGTGTTTTGTTGAGTTTGACATATTTGTTAAACTCTTTAAGTGTTTAATGTTTTATAGTTCAGTTTTAAGTAAATGTTGATTTTATATTATCAATTATAATCAATAAACTACTTTTAGTTGTTAATGTATCTCCATATTTCTTTTATTTTCCGGGAATCTGAGGTCAGTTCGTACACCCCAACTAGAAGAAAACATTTTGTTTTTTTGTGGCAGATTGTAGTACAGCTAGTACTGTTAATAGCAACAGTTCAGACATTTCCGAATGTCCAAAGGTACGTCTTGGCATGTCCTACATGAACAGCAATTGTATCCATAGAGAGTACAAATTAACTAAATTTAAAATTGCTGATTATCCGTTGCAAATACAGTGTTGCGATACTATGATGGATAAATGTACTATCGATGCTACGTTTTTAGAAAGAAGTACTTTTTACAGATAACCATTAATTTGAAAAATACTGAAGAATAATTGTACTGAAGAAAATCCATTTATGCTACATTGAGTAATAATTTGACAAATTTCTTTTAAACGCACTTAAATCTTTTTGTGAATAACGCGAAAACGATGCGTCTAATCAGAAATTAAGAAAGAAATATCCTGTACAGCATTGATCCCGTGTTTGCATATTTTCAAAAGTGATCTTTAACGATTGATTGCCATTGTTTGCCAATTTTTATCTTTCTAAGACAAACCACATTGAAAATATTTAAGAAAATGTTTACAAATTTCTTAACGTTGATGGCCTATATCTTAGCCATTTATGGGTTTAGACCAAAAATTTTTGAATCGTCATTTTGACTCTACTATTTATGATTAAAATTATGCCACAACTTATAGAAACACCTGTATATAAAGGTTTCACAGGTTTCTATTACAGCTTTGCTGATAGTTGCTGGGGACATTATGACAGAAAACTTTAAGTCTTCAAAATTTCTTCTTGTGGCCAAGTACCTCAGGGTTAAGGCTAATCTTTCCCTAACACTTATACTTTCTCTCATATTGCCATCCTGTCTTTTCAAAAATGGTTCAATTATCTGTAACAGTTTGTTAAAAGTAGTTCTTGAAATCATTGTTTTCATCAGTGATTTCTTTCAACAGTACTAGATGAGAATATTCATCTCTCTTCTTCAACTATTCTTTCATCCAGTAATAATAGCTTTTAGCTACGCAAGCTTTTGTAAAAATTTGTGTAAAAAGGTAATTTATTGACCAAAGTTATTGACAATAATATTGATCGTGTAATGTAGTGAAGTATTGAGACTGGTTACCAAGAGGATTAATGGTTGTATTGTCAATACTATTGATCGTGTAAAGGCCGCTTAAGACAGAACTATGATAGTGTAATACCGGCCTAACAGTGCTTCCTAATTTTCGAGTTAAAGAAGCAGAATGATTATATTCAGGCTGTTCCAACCGATGATTTTGATTCTGGACTGTTGCTGGTACTGAGCTAGCCAATACTAGCAAAATGCGTTGACTCTACAGTTATTTTGAGGTTCACTATCCAAATTTGATTGTCAAATCTGTTAACATTGCAGAAATATTCCCCATCTTTGTTAAAACTGAAGTTGAGATATATAGATGTCGCTAAATACAGAAATCTTAAAATAACTCTACCGAGTCGCAGTTGTGTGGGCACTTCTGATCTTCATACTGCAGCTTATTGAATCCTTATTGAATTTCTTCAAATATTAACGTTTTTAACATGCTTCTAGTAAAGTTGTTGAGGAGACAGATGTCTCGTTTAAGTTGCTCTTTTCATTTTCACTCTTAGTTTCGATTAATTTGGCGTCTTCCTAATTCTTAGATTGTTTCAGTGCTTCTACCTCGTGTCTTCCTTCTCTCTTTCTGATTTCCTTCGGCATACTTGCATTACATTTTGACTCTTTGCTCTTCCTTGTAGCATTTCTAGCATCGTGAAGATTCTTTCTTGATTATACAATCTTTTTTTGACTACATATTCTTCTATGTATGTAAGCTTCTGACTGGGGTTGGCAATTATTTCAAGTATTCGATGTTATTTTCACACATATTATAGCTTTTTTATTGACCACGCCACTTTTTGACATTTTCTTTCTCCTCATTCCTTCCTCTTCTTTTTGACATCTGTATTCTGTCTTGGTTCAACATCTTATCTTTCTCGTTCGAGCTTCTTACTTTCACTACTTACGTCTAATAGGTTCCAAGTTCTTGGTATTTGTTCTATGTATTCTCGGTATTGTATTTGCCTTCGTTCGGACTTCTCACTCCCTCTGGACTAGTTTATTAGTCAATTTCTAGCTTGCTTCTGACTTGGGTCTTCTTCATTCTGGTTCATCTCAAAGTTCTGTTTGAATTCGTTCGGACGTTTCATATTCCTCGGATTAATCTAATTATTTCTGGGTTATTCCTTCTTTGAATACCTCTTTATTTGTGGGTTTGGTTGGGTACAACCTGTTTTTTGTTTTTTTCTTTATTTCATATCTTCTTACTGCCTGATTTATTCCTTCACTTTTAGCTTGTTTCTAGCTCGGTCTTACTAATTATTCTGGGGTACCTTTTTCTTTCTATCTTTTTGTACATAAAATTGGCAAAAATTAATTTCAACCTCGCACTTTATAAACGAAAATATTTATTCAAGATTGCCGCATCAAAGCGGTCGGGAAAGAGGACCGACGAACTTTACACATCTTCCTCATGGGTGTGTTTTGCATTGTCCTTTCTTGAGAGGTTCAAGAAACCAGCATAGCAGCACCCGACAGAAGTAGCAAAGCAGTAAGTTTAGGCAAAAAATCCATTTGTTCGCATTTTTAGTTACCCTGTTTCAGTGAGGTTTCATTATACATATACTTATATAACATATCTATGCCTACAATCTTCTACATGCTTATTACAGCTTTGCTGATAGTTGCTGGGGACATTATGACAGAAAATTTTAAGGCTTCAAAATTTCATCCTGTAGCCAAGTACCTCAGGGTTAAGGCTAATCTTTCCCTAACACTTATACTTTCTCTCATATTGCTATCCTGTCTTTTCAAAAATGGTTCAATCATCTGTAACAGTTTGTTAAAGGTACTTTCAAAGTAGTTCTTGAAATCATTGTTTTCATCAGTGATTTCTTTCAACAGTACTAGATGAGAATAGTCATCTCTCTTCTTCAACTATTCTTTCATCTAGTAATAATAGCTTTTAGCTACGCAAACTTTTGTACCATTATCCATATTTGGAAGAGAAAAACCTGCAAATAAGCGAGTAAAACTACGTAGATTAGGTAATTTATTGAGCAAACTTATTGACACTAATATTGATCGTGTAAGGTAGTGAAGTATTGAGATTGGTTACTACGAGGATTAATGGTTGTATTGTCAATACTATTGATCGTGTAAAGCCCGCTTAAGACAGAACTATGATAGTGTAATACAACCGATGATGCTGGTTCTAGACTGTTGCTGTTACTGAGCCAGCCAATTCTAGCAAAATGCGTTTACTCTACAGTTATTTTGAGGTTCACTATCCAAATTTGATTATCAAATCTGTTAACATAGCAGAAATATTCTCCATCTTTGTTAAAACTGAAGTTGAGATATATAGATGTCGCTAAATACAGAAATCTTAAAATAACTTTACCGGCATCTATATTTAAAAGCAATAAACACGTTATTGAAAAATGTATACTTGTTTTAAATTTTAAATGGTAAAAACAAAATTTAACCTTGATCCTTTTTAATTTATAATAACAAATAAAAATGGTCGTCGAATGTTAGAAAATGACGTCAAGGAACTTGCGTTTGGATTAACAGGAAGCGAAGTTGAAAGGGCACTTGAAAAAAAATCCAATTCATTGAATATGTAAGAGTCTAGAAAGAATTGTTCATAATAAATTTAAATGACTTCAATTTTAGTAGTTGTGGAAAAGTAAAAGAGTTTCTTTCTTCCAAACTAGTAGAAGGTGTGGGAATTAAATGGTATGTATTAATTTTTTATTTATTAGATTATATTAGATTTATTTTCGAATGATAATGAGAGTTATAAAGGAGGGGATGTGTATGTATATAAATATGTGTGTGAATATATAGATGCAAAAATATATTAATTATTATGATGGAACAAATATTTTGTTTGTTTAAAAACATAAAAATATTTGTCTGAAAGTCGATTTTCCCTGATTTTAAATTTAGTTCTCTTTGTTTATCTATTATTGGGTTATTTTGCATATAGCGCGTTTCTAAAAAGTGCTCCCACCACACCGTGTACTCAGTGCGCAATAACGTTCCGTGAATCCAGGCCTGGTCTCTACCGAGGAGGTGAGATTGTATTAAAAGAATACATGACAGAAAGTGATGACATTTCTTCATATTGCAGCCCGAATATCTATTGCGTCGTCCAATATCAAATACGACATCAACCGACACTCAATTCGCGTTTTATCTACGATTTTACGAACCGGTACTCAAACGAACTGTCAAAGTGCATGATAAAAGCAAAAATTATTCGGGTAAAAATTTTGTGTTATAGTTTTCCTCAACATTTTTTTAGTGAAAACATCAACAACAGTTAAAGGAACATCATATTAACGTAGTGTTTATTTTAGAACAACATAAACAATACAGAAGTGATCATGATTTAGTGACCGACAAATTTATAGGTTAGGATACAAAAAAAAAATAATTGACAATCGGAAAAAAAAGAAATTCGAAAAAATAATTGACAATCGGAAAAAAAACAAATTCGAAACAATGTTAAGTTTAAAAAAAGTGTACAGAGACGAATTACTTCAACTCGCCTTAATATTAAGCATACTTCGAGTTAACCCGGACTCATATTTTGAAAATGAACTATTTAATGCTACTGATCTTGACTTGGATAATGGGACAAGTTGGAGATCCTTGGGCACCTCTGTTCTTAGGGCCCACTATGTTCATCCAAAAAACCTTGATTCTGTACTTATGAACTATGAACGAGAAGTATTTGCAGAGCTAAACTCTTTGGGAAGATACAATCGAGTAAATACACATTCTGATATTACCGCCTATTTGCTCAATGTTAACCGGACAACGATTCCAAATCTTAATCAAGAGGCACCACCTGATATTACTACATCTCATTCTAATCAAAATGAACCTAACAATATCAATGTTAATCAAGAAGAACCAGAACAATTAGATTTAGGATTAGAATTAACACAAGAGGTATGTATATATTTAAGATTATATGTTTTTATGTATTGAGTGTCCCAGAATATATAAACACTGAGGACAGCTGAGGAAAATTAAAAATTTATTTATAATATATATTTATCATAGTATTTTAGCATTGATATTTGCAAATTGGGATGGTCATGTAAGTAGAAGTACAAATTATGGCCCTTACACACCTACCTAGCTAAAGTAGACAAAGTGAATCAACAAAAACATTATGAGCCTTTGTCATCTAAACACTTACTTTGTAAAATCTGTATCTGATAATGTTTCTCTGCATGATAATGAACTTTGTGATTTATTTCAACAACAAACTGATTAAGACATTATCTTTTTTTAATATAAATAATTGATCAATAATTTTTCAGATAAAAAATCTACATCTTAGGGGAGAAGGGGGTACATTTGAACACTTTGATATTTGAATAACTCCTGTCACTTGGGCACATGTTAATAAACTTTTAGCATACTTATACTTAAACTTCTGGGGCAGTTCTAAACAGATGAGGGGTGCATTTGAACATGAAAGAAAAAAACATAATAAACCAAACATATTCTTTTACTAAATATTAAGCCCATCAAAATTAACTATAAAGGAGAGAACAGCCATTGTTCTTGAGGTCCCTCCTGATGTTACTGGTTGAGGAAGTTTCAAAATTATGTCATCACCAGGACACGGAACTTTTGTAACAAAATGATACGATTTCCCCCCTCCACTCGTTCTCAGCAGAAAATTTCATAGAAAAGTTGTTCTAAATTAAATTCTAGAACGATTTTCTCAATAACAAATATATAAAAATATATATATAAAAATTTTTTTGAGCTTACATTCTTAATTATTGATCAAATCAAAAATTTTTATTAACAATATTTGTTTAGAATTACTTCAGGAACAGTGTTTGTTAATAAAATTTTTTGCTAACTTGAAATTTTAATTTCCCTCTGAATAGTATGCTATCAAAATTAATTATCTCAATAATTATTGTTTTTATCAAAAAATGTTTTAAATAAAATTTGTTTCAACTTCGATTTTGAATCAATCATCTTAATACAAAATGTTTACATCTCTATTAATTAAACATCTAAGTGTAATTATGTATAAAAATTTAAAAATTATTATTTTGAGGTTATCTCTTTAATTATTGATTAAATCAAAAAAAGATGTTGACAAAGTTTGTTTAGAATTGTTTCAGGAACAATTTTTGTTAACATAATTTTTTTCTAACTTGAAATTTTAATTTTCCATTGAACAGTATGCTGTTCTTTTAATCAGAAGGTGTGGAGGGGGGAAGTCGTATCGTTTTGTTACAAAAGTTCCGTGCCCTGGTCATCACCACTAACATCGCTGGTTTCAGGAACATCTGTGAAATAAAATTTGAATGAATCTTCATACTTGGTTAATTGTCGTTTCAAATATTTGACTGAATATTCGGGTTCATTTGCATCTATTTTTCCATCAATTTGAGCAACAAAGTGTCGAACTGATTTTTTTGTTGGAAACTTTATCAAGACAAAATCTCCTATGACTAAATTCTCATTTTCTTCTGCTTCATCCTCTGAATCTAAATCATCTGATTCGTCATAATTTGAATATTCATCAGCACTGCTTTCGCTGTTATCACTATTTTCACGGACTGCGAGTTCTACATTGTCTCGCTTTTCTTTACACAAACTTCAGACTTTTTCTCTTGTTCATGATCTATATTCAAAACCGGTTTTCTTTTTTTAGCTATTCTTTTCAATGTTTCCTCTTCAATCCTGTTCTTTTCCGGAGTCTCCGTTAGAATTCTTGACTTCTTTTTTCTTGTGTTTCTTGCCTTTGATAATCTTTGTCCGGCCTTGCAATCCTGAAGAAGGGTGCGATGGAACGATCTCTAGCAATGCTGGTGGAGTAGTTGTTGGCTCTTGGGCACGAGCAGTTACAAAAGCGGCTTCAAAATCGTCATCTGTGAACGCATTTCGGGAAAATAGCCAAATTCTACAATGTTTTTAATGGTGAATGCAGAGCAGTAAGCTACATTTGCTAAACTTGCCAAGTTATGAATGGTTAACGTCTTTCCCGGATTGCTTGTTAACCAACAATTTTGGGCAACTGATAGTCGTCCTTTGAATGGTTCCATCACTGAAAAATTTAACGGCTGCAATCGATGGGTGCAGTGAGGTGGAAATGTGACTAGACTCATTCCATGTTTTTTAGCAAATAGAACAGCTTCCAATGTGCAGTGGCTCTCATGGTTATCCATTACTATGAGAATAGGGTCGTCTTTAGTACATTTTGTATAGATTCTAATGTGCTCCAAAATCTTCAAGAATAAAGGCCCTGTCATCCACCCACTTGTTGGACTATTGACCAACCCCAAGCTTCCAGGAGTTGCTCCATTTAACATTGTATCATGGTATCTAGCCCCTGGGAAGACAAAAATACACATTGTTACTAGTTGTCCCCTTTCCGCAGAAACAACTTGCCCCACTTGTTTTGTTCCCTTCTTCGCAACAACATTAGGGGCTTGAACGACAGTGGTAATCCCTGTCTCGTCCAGGTTCCAGATTTTATCAGCTGTGAACGGGTAGGTCTGCAAGGTTTTTTGATAACAGCCAGGTCAAAATTGTCCCAGTTCTTGGGATAATTACAACCAATTGATTTTGCGTAAGTCAATGCAAGCCTTCGAATATCAATATAAGACCATAACTCATTTTGGAACATTGGACAATATAATTTTCAAGCATGGTCTCTTGCTCTGTGGTAAAAACCTGCTTCGCTGTATATTTTGATCCGTATTTGTTTTCACCTGTTTGCTCTTTTTTAACTCTATAATATAAGGCGGTGTGGGTGAGACCATAAACGCTGCTCTTCTTAGAGGCATTTTGTTTTCTTTAACTGCTGTTATAGCTGCTTCCTTTTCTTCTTGTATGTCCGCACCATATTTAAATTTATGATAAGAAAGAAATTTTAGGTACAGGAAAAATTCAGCAGTGTTGGGGCAGTTTTGAACATGTTCAAAAGTGCCCCTTTGTTGATGTTCAAAACTACCCCAACACACATCAATACTTGTTTCCGGCAATACAATTTTTTTGGTTAGGTTATAATGAAAGTTAAAATTAGTACTCAATTATCACTCTTGATAGTGCAAACACAAAACTACTTACCAGATTTTTTCCCTCCGTTCTATTTCGTAACAAAGTGAATATTGCAAAATTCGATAATAACATATAAAGTGCACTTGTCACAGCGACAAACCTTTAAAGCGCGGTATACGATAAAAACATTTTGTTAGATGTTTAGCTATGTTGCCACATCTGGTATCTGTCGTTTGAGCCACCTGGTGGTTGTTCCAAACTAATTTAATGTGTTCAAATGTACCCCCTTCTCCCCTATTCATAAACAACTAAACTTTTTTAAGACCAGAGAAAATCTATTTCTTCTTTTTCATCTTAATCTTAAGAACCATTGAGATTAATCCAATACAACTCCAGTATCATCAACAATATTTGTTAAAGCCAAAGTGTTAATCTTCCAGAAATGGGAAAGACTGAAAACCTGTCATAAAGTATAGCCATAATATACAGGGTGATTCTCAACCTATGCGCATAAACTTGGGAATTTATTCTTCATGAGTAATAGGTGAAAAATATTGTAGCAAAAGTTTTTTAGTTTCTTAGATATCCATGAAATTTACTTTCAAGTCAAGAATACATATAAGATTTTAAAATGACATCAAAGTAAGTGTTCCAAGTTGTTTCCAATATTTTCAACAACAGTTTGTACCTGATTTCGCAATCCTTGCTTACTATTCACTTCCTCAGCGGCAATATTAAATGCATGTGTTAATAACTGTATGCCATCCTCAGTATCAGCCAAGAGGACGGCATCGTCTGCATAGTACTCAATCTTGATTTTGTAATTATTCATAGTTTACATTACTTACTACATTATATTATCCTTACTTTGTCGAACGTTTTGGTTAGATCAGAACAGAGGAAGGCTGCCTGACGTTTTTTCGCCGGTGTTCTATTTGATTCTTTGATACATTTTCCTCAACATTGTGTGATCAGTACATGTCATTCTTCATCTCGTTACTAAATTTCTCCATGCATCATTAGTGTAGGCAACTCTTGCAATCAGAAGGACGTGAGCAAACGATACACTCAAATGTATGTAAACACTTTTTTGCAGAAGTTTGGTGTTGCTTGTAAGAGTGTTGGTGGATTGTCGGCAGCAGTTTGTATCTGATTTCGCAATCCTTGCTCAGAATTAACTTCGAGAGACTGAGATTGAGGTCGGGTGATCGAGATGGCCAGGCATATGAACTACCTCGACCTGTCCATCTTCCGGGAAGTACCTTAACTAGATGTCGCCGGATATCTATGATTATTTGTCTCGAGGAATAAATCCCCAAGTTTATGCGTATAGGTAGAGAATCGCCCTGTATACAGGGTGTTTCAGTTTTTTGTAGCAGGACTTTAACAGTCGATAGATCTTTTAAAATTAGCACAAAAACTTTATACAAACGCTTTGTTTTGAAGATACAGGGTGTTTAAGTTAAATTTTTTAATTGATTTTTATTTAATATTACGTGTATATTTCAACCGATTCTATTCAAATTTGGTATACGGAAGTTTTTTGGCATGAGAAAGACGATTATGAAGTCATCTTTTCGGGCCATACTTTTTGCCACCACAACTAACCGCTGCGGCGTTCTTGTAATTTTTGGTAGCTGAAAATGCCAATATGTGGGCATGTACAACATATTAACATTAATAACATGCCAATACCAGCTTATCATGGTAGGGTGGTAAGAAATTGGCTAGACAACCATTTTCCTGCAAGTTGGATTGGTCGTCTTTAGACTTTTTTGTGTGGAGATATTTGAAAGGAAAATTGTATGAGACACCTGTTCCCACAAGGGATGAACTTAAATAACATCACTCGATAAGTAATTCGTCGGTCAGAATAGGGCCGTTAAGGTCAATCGATTAGAAAGACCGTCTTT